TATTTATGTAATTTGATATTTGTAATTTGTTAATTGTATAAGCAGTGCCCCTTAGTAATTGGGCTCTATGCCTGTTAAGGGACTAGCGTCGTCTTCGTTGATTCACTATTAAAGTCTCTCCAATTGGTTACAATCATCCGACTTGTCAAAAGGGAAAATATCAAAAGATGTCACCCCCTTCGGGAGTTACAGGAACCTGTAATTAATCCGTTTTGTCGCGCGCCAAAACAGTTTGTGCTTGAATTGATATTATCAAAATGTCCAAAAAATATTGCTCTGTGCCTGCTTGTGGGGTAATCAAGGATCCTAGAGACCACAAAATAATGCAGATTCCCTTCAAACACTGTGAACAAAAGGTTGTGGTGCAAAAAGGTTTTTAATGCTACAAGTAGGTACCCCAACATGAATCTTTTACCTAAGGGAATGTATAGCCATTAAAACCATTTCAGGTGATAATATTGCCAATAATTTATACATTTGTGGTAAACACTTTGAGAGAAGTTGTTATTACACAAATAAAAGACTTAAACCCGGCTCTGTTCCTACTTTGTTCCTCCATGGTTCCAAGTCACCGCTACCTGTTCCTACTTCTTCAAGCTCCCCAGCAAGTACTAAACGTGATCCAGAATGCAGCTTCATAATTCCTGAGACACATTCCGATAACAATGTAAACACCTCAAAGAAAAACTTTCCTACTGCATATCCCTTTGCAGACCATCCACACCCATGGCGTTGTGACTTTGGCACCGGTACCGAAATTTTGCCTCTTTTTCAAGTAAAAACTGAAATACATGACGTCAAATTGTGTCAAAAAGTCAGACCACGACAGACATTTAGCCGACATTACAGATTCCTTTCCCTCCCGACGTATGCTCCCTCACATGTCACATTTAAGGGATTGGAGAGACTTTAATAGTGAATCAACGAAGACGACGGGGACTAGAATTAATAAATAAATAAATAAATAAATAAATAAATAAATAATGTGCATACCCGAAAGTAGAGTCACAGTATAGATATCATTCAGTAGGGACAACTCGCTATTCTTACTGACCCGTTTTCATGGGTGGTCGTTTGTCTTGTGACCGTATGAGGGCGCGCAGCGCAAGGTACTTCTCTTTTTTACACATTGGGACATTGAACTGCGGTACTTTGGTTATCTAGTGATTTTAATGTGAAATATTTGAAATTTGGCAGTTTAGTTGCATTGGTTTTGATGATTTAAGGCTGATCTTCCGATGTAATTATTGCAGTTAAGTGTAATTTTCACAGAGACATTTTAAAAAGCATTGTTCATGTTTTGATGGGACCATCGTTTACTATTTAATTTTTTTGTAAAAAAAAACTAAATGTACATATATTAGCGTTTTCTAATAGCGTTGAATTTTATAACCATTTACAACCATCATGGAAAAGAAATTAATGAAACTTAAAATCGTAATCAGAGAAGCGGGGCCAAATCTGAATTTCAACAGGCATCTCTGTTATAGGATAGCGCGCTTAATTCATTATTTATTACAATAGACTGAGGGATTTCTAAGATCAACTAGTTACATAATGTTGTTGTTATTACACTATTTTTAATTCTTTTCCAAAAACTCATTTGCACAAAGTATAGTAAATTGTGTACACGAATCAATTTTAAAATTTTCAAATGAAGCGTTTGTGATACTTTTTAAATTGGGTGGCGACATCTAGAAATATTTTGGGCAACGACCACCGATGATGGCTTAAAATTGTGGCCAGAAAGATCAAAGGCGCCTACACGAGTTGTCCCTACTGACTGATCTCTATACTGTGGTAGAGTCCCTAGATATACTTTAGAAAAGAGTTGTGACACGGACATTTTCTGTCTCTATCTTCGTTACATGACGGTCAGTTATGAGATAGCTATAGCGATTGCTGTCTTTATCTAATTTAGTGATTTAGTTTCAAAGACTTCAAAAGAAATTTATAGGTTAAGTTAAATTTTCAAACAGTGGCGTAGTGCTCCAAATAGTTTCTTTGAAATTTTGTTAACAGTACTGACCCTGATAGTACCTTGTATTTAAGAAGAAGTGTTATGCGGTTAAGTATAGTAGAGCAGCTTTCATAACGAAAGGGTACAGCTGGTGGGAGTGCGCAGAACATTGTTTTGGTTTGGCCTTACAAATATCGTGAGAGCAGTGGCAGCGGCGATAAATATTTCGACTTTGAAATATCAAAATACTATTTTTGCACTCATGATCTTTTTTGATGGCTTTCGTGCATTCACCAGGGTGCGGGAGTTCGAACTTCCCGCACACGTGCATTTTAACTTCCCGTTGCCATGGTAACCTTAAAATACTCGCGTAGTGTCAACATTGTGATGTGTTGACGGCGCCATTGTTTATAAATAACTCACAGTTAATTTCTTCAGTTTAAAGGTTTATTCGTTGCAAAAAATATTGTACACAACACGTTCGTGAGCCTGCTTCCCGCATTCACGCAAATGCGGCACTCCCTTCGGTCGTGCCGCAAACAAGCGTTCATGCGGGAAGCAGGCTATCCCGAACTAGTTGTGTAAATTACTATTGTGTTAATAAAAATATCAATTTTCTATTTTATTAGCGTTGACATTATAGAAAATGAATTTAACGGTTTGTTAATGCTGTATTATGATGTATTAGTTGAATAAAAAACTAAGTAAAAGAAGTAAAAAGGTAACATTTAGTGAGCAATAACAACTGATAAATTACGGTACAGTGTACAGTCAAAGCTATATAAACGACAATTATGCTAAAATATGAACTGTGATTATTATTTCGAGGTTAAAGACAGAAAACGTTAAGCCTTATTGTAATCTTTATAGTATTAACAAATTGTGCCAGAAAATTAAAAACCATGTAACTATAGTCATGGGTTGCTAATTCTCAGGGTTTTATCCCCGTTTTTATCTAAAGATTTAACTGTTGATTTAAGACTAGTCGACTATAAAATAGTGTATGATACTGGTTTATAATGCGGGGTTCGTGAAATTTTTTACTCATGCTATAATCCCTATTGTTACGTAAGCCTATTTTTTACCAAACAAATAAATTTATTTTTATTAAATGGTTCTGTATTCTATTGTAGAAATTGCTCTATTTTCCATTGTTTTTGAAAGAAATATAACTCAGCGGAAACTGAGCCTCCCTTCTCAATACATCGATGTTACGCCACTGCTAGTCCGACTACAACTCGCACAACTTAAGCCCCGCCCCTATGCCCTTTCGTTATGAAAGCTGCTCTAGCTGTCACAATAAGCTGAACGTCTCAAACGCTCAATAAACCCCTAACCGCAGCTTATAGATGCCATAAATTTGGGCTGAATGCCGCGTACTATTCAGTTAGTACTTAAATAAGAGATATGCTGTGCCCAAACAGTGGAGAGTAATAAAAATTACAACCATCCTAATCACTTCAATGAGCAGCAGCACGACCGCGGCCCAGGTACCATTCGGTCTAATTTGACGGTCACTTTACTTCTTACAAGTTACAACCGGTATCTTTGGTAAAACAGAAAAATATGGAATACCTAATCATACTGATTTACACTTTATGAGATTATGTCACAATTTGCAGTTAAGTTTGAACACCATTCTGTACCCAAGTACTGTCGTTGTTCTCAACGCAAGTTTTGGAGAATGTATCACATTGTCAGTGTCTAATCGTTTTGATTCTGATCAAAACAACATTTTGTAATTTAACGAACTGGGAAGGTAAAGTGCACCGTTGTAAGGAATTTGAAGCATGTTTAGTGGGTTGTTTATCTACTACTCTATAATAAACAGTACTTTTACAATGTCCTCACATTTTCATCATGAATATTTGCTCTTATATGTTGAATAATTTCAGTAGAAATATATAGATTCATGTGCCTGTGTATTAAATAAAACTTACAAGTTAAAATTTGCTGCTTATTTTTTAAATTAAAATAACTATGAAAAAATTACAAAAGCAAGCAAGGTCAATCGAATTTCTGTAACTCGAAATATTTAAGAAATATTCCACAAACAATTAATTAAATGGCCGAAGAATACATGAGGTTGGAATTCCCAGTAAAATGATAACATACGATTTGTTTCCATCGTAAGCTTACACCTCCTAACACAAAAAAAAACATGGGTGGCCACTTATTTAAATTTGTTAATGTTGTTTCCCAAAAGTAATGAGGAACCTGGACAGTATTCTTTACCTGGATTGATTGCTGCTTCGCCTAAAAATAAATCATTTCTTTCCTAATATCCTAATCATTAAAATTTTTAATTTTGATTGTTAAATAGGTAAAAATTTCACGTAAAATTCCTGATTAAAACGGTATGTGCTGAATTTTACGACATAGGTTTCTACTTGAAGGTAACGGAAAATTTATATTTAGAACATATAGTTATGTCCTGACGTTCCACAAAGAAATTTTGTTTTAAGGGCTTTTTCTATTGTTTTGTTGTTCCACCGTTTTTGTTGTTTGCGTTTAACACTTAAATTTTGAATTTGGTTTTTGTTGAAAATCCCTTTTATACTTCTGTTTTATGCATTGTCCTTATTTTGTTCTTCGTTGTCAGTCAACCGAAAGCTGTTACCAACTGCTAAATTTTAAGCAAAATCAACAGGTCGTGTTTCAATAGAAATGGCAAAGACAATATCTAAGGTCTCTACCTGAAAGTATTCAGGCGTTAGCAGATAAAATAATCACCCTGTATTAAAAAAAATGTTGCTAAAGATCATAATTAAAGATTATGATTTCAAACATCAAATATATGCGCAAGTTTGTAAAATATGTTTTACCAATAAATACCTACACCAACAGTAAATATTGTAGCTCAATAGTTTTATAATTATTAAAAAGCGTTTAATAAAAACACACCTTTGATACAATAACTGTTTTATTGGGCAGAAATTTTCTGTTGGATATTTTTTTCCAACGAAATTAAAGCGAATAAATGAAATCTTGGATATCCCATCTCTCAATGTACATTGTCTAAGTAAATTAACGTTTACAGCTTTTAACGAAAAATCCCAATAAAAGATTAGGTTGCGGATCTCATGGTGAAGAAGATGTACGAGCTCATGCATTCTTTAGACGTATCGATTGGGATAAAATTGAAAACAGAGAAGTACAACCACCGTTTAAACCAAAAATTGTAAGTAACGCGAAACAGGAAGTACTCTTCTAAATGTTTTAAAACGTTTTTCTTATAGAAACATCGTAAGGACGTAAGTAACTTTGACAAACAATTCACTTCTGAGAAGACGGACTTAACACCTACGGATAAATTGTTTATGATGAATCTTGATCAAACAGAATTTATGGGATTTTCTTTCCTTAACCCTGAATTTATTCAACACGTCTAAACATTCATTTATAGTCAGGGGAACTATATTTATTTAATAAGGATCATCTTAGAATAATGTAGATTTATTTATAGAATCTATTTGTCTGTTGAGATTTGCATTTCAGTCATTTTTAATGTTGTTTGTACTTTTATTAGCGATATTTCATTGAATATAAAAAAGTAAGTCGTTATTAACATCTACGTATATATATAAAAGTAACGTACTTATACTTGTGCCAAACGCTAACATTAAGTTTTTGGTTCTACTCTTCTTCTACTATCAGAATTAGATAAGTATGTTGAGGCATGCTCCAGAATTAAACGCACAGATTTTGATTTTAGATAAATTACAGTTCCGAGTGTATTATAAATATAACTCATTCAATTTTTCCAAAATTTCAACACTTTTTTTTATCTATTTAACTGGTTTCTTTAGAAATGTTGAGTGTAAGTGCTTATTTTCTCTTGTTATGTAGTCTTACTGCTACAAGAGACATATGTCACAAATAGGTCAAGCTCATATTAAGTGAGTTCAAGATTTTTCTGCAAACATGATTCACGGCGAATGTAAATTGCAGCGGGCCTTTCGCAGGATCCGAAAAGGTCTATGTAAACTACAGCGGTATACAGATGCTGTACTTGATGGGTTTGAAGATTTACTACACAGGATTTGATTTTTTTTTTGTATTACTTATTAGTAGGTTAAATTAGTACTAATTTTGTAAAAGTTTGTATTAGCGCGTCAACGTCCAGAATAATTTTATTTGTATTACTAATTTTCCTTTTGAAAAAGTTAAAAATAATTAATATATTATTTTTAGTTTTGTAATAATGTTATAATATTATATGTTGGGGATTACGGGAAATATCATTCTTTTTGATACAGTAAATGCCGCGATTTTGCAGAGGAACTATCACAGACCCAGATATGCTAAGACGAAGCAAAAATCAGTTTCGAATGTCATTACAGGTAAACAAGTGACCCTATTTTAGAGCTAGTATCCGATTTTATTATCCTCTACAATTTACATGTTATAAACATTTACTGGGCTCGGGAAGATTAATGAATTAGTTCCGTTGCAGTTTACATGTGCCCCATAATTCAAACAGACCAATACATTATAGAAACATTGTAATTTCGCAGAAACGGAAATGTTTCCTTAGGCATTGGACGTGTTCACATATAATGACTTAGGTACAGGCCTGCATATCACCTGCCTTACTAACGTTATTTGCCAAATGGTTCGATATCATAAATTTTTGAGAATCATGAATATATATTTGTTTTTGACAACATAATACAGAAGGCCTGCTAGTTCTATTAATCGTATTTATAACAAGGTTCATCAACGGTAAGAAAACAGCAGATTTATTTAACTGTGTGTTTTTGTTTGCTTTGTGTAAGTGTTTAAATGAATTCTCGATCGTAATTCTACCCATACATAATTATACTTTTTTGCTGAATCCCTAATAGTCACTAGTTACTTTCTTTTATAAGTGAGATCTTCTTCAAAATTTCCCCTCAAATTTCATTTTTAATCACTGCTGTTCGAAAATCTACCAACATTTATTTTATGCACCCGTCAGAGAATCATTTCTGTTGATTAATTAATTTTATCCATATTGAACTGGTAAAAGGGTTATCGGCATAGTGGCATAGTCGTAAAAATATGCTGGCAGTTATAAACTGCGTTTTTTTCTGGGGTAAGCCTTCATTTATTTTTGTTATTTAATTACACGTATCTTCACGTCCATCTCATATTTATGAAGCACACCCTAGAACAGAATATATATAAATATATTTTTATTGATGATTAGGCATTTAAGTGTTATGCTTATGACTGTTTATTTGTAAAAATGTACATAATTCTTCTTATACCATTCTAAAACATATCAAAATAAGTACTATTGGTTATGTTGTATTACACATGGTTACTATTGTTTGTTCTGTTAATAATTTCAACGTTGGACTTTGTTCAGAGCTTTTTACATTTTAATTGGGAACCTCTACGGTTCATAATTATATATACTATTAAAGCTCAGTCGTTGACAGGCAATAACGTCTCTTAGACACCATATATGATTTACAATGTTTGTTTTTGTACACTGTTTTCATTTTAATATTGAGACTTTGTAATAGAAGGTGGGTACCTATTCTTTTGCTGATATTATTTTTGCTTCATAATAGATAATAGACGTTAAGATTATCTTGAAATTTGCAAGTTTATTACTATTTGCGTACGATTCATTTATTCCTGTCAGTAATAAGTTATTTACTAATAATATATTTGTTACTATATTTCGTGGGTAATTCAACGTCTTATTTTGACTACATAGATATTATCGTTCAATGTGATGATTAAAGCAAATCGACAATCTACTTTAAGATAAAAAAATACGATATTGTACATTTTAAGCATTCCAAATAATTAAGCGCCCTTATTGTACATTCCTGTAGAGAAAAATGACTGATGTGCAAATAATTAATATACTAATTATCTCGTTTTTACTATCGATTGTCGCACTCTTAAACACGGTTAAAATATTATTGCAATCAGAATATTATATTATTCACGCGTCTTTTTCTTACAGTTCTTCCAGTCATTTAAAATGACAAAATTTGTGAATGTAGAGAATTTATAAGGATATATCAGTAATTAATGTAATTAATGTAATATCATTACAAATATGTATTTATATATTTCTTTAAAAAAAAATAACGTCAATCCACGTAAAGATGGACGTAACTAACACTAACTGCTTCACTACTGTTTCAAATAAATATATATTTTGTAATGAAAAACAAATATTTAAATATGAACAAGATTTTTGGGCATCTTCGATATTTTAATTACAGAGAATTTAGGGCAAAAAACAACACAAACTAAAATACTATGTCAGATATCTGTTATTAAATAATGTCACCTGTAGTACGTTATTATTTTCACCGAGCAAACAACTTTTTGTACAACTATAACATTCTTATTCACCGCTGTTAGAAGTTTTAACGGTATCTCACCATAATGAACAGTAGAACTTTCTTTGCTGCAATGCTAACTGGGTTTCACTGCAAATTCTGCCTCAAATGATTCAGTTGTACCTACACATTCAGTGCAAAATGTTTGTATATCTCAATCAATGCTAGGCAGTTTGCCCACAACGTACTGCAAAAATGCAGCAGTCTTTTAACATTTTGCTGATTAAGATATATTTAAAATAACACTACTTACTTTGACTTGAAAAAAACCTCTTAAAGCTTGCATGCTATTTACTGAATAACACACATTAAACATCTAACAAACCAGTATTATGATAAAGTATTCTCTTTGTTTCTAAATATTACAAAACCATTTATATTAGAAAAATCAACGTAACACTCATAAAATTTTCATTTTTCGATATTAATAGCCCAAAAAATAAATTTTTATTTAATAATATTGGTATTTTCATTTATTTATAGTAGTGTCTGCCTGGTGTCGTACATCGACATCGTGTAACCTAGCCTGTTAGATTCTCCCTATGCCAACTTTGCCTGCCCAATTCTTATGCTATATAATTCTGAAATACCTATGAAAGAAAATAACGGAGGTAAATCTAAAATCTGCAAAAATCAATACAACCCATTAAATCTAGTAGCTGTTTACGGCATTAAAATCTGTTAACCATCTATTTTGGCCCTATATAAAAACGTGTTTCCTAAAAAAAAAATGTTCATATATCTTTCTACTGCGTCATAACAATGTAACGACGAACATGAGACACGAAAAATTTGATGATCATACAGGAAAAGAATAAAAGTACATAGTATACTGATAAAAAACGTATTGACGCACTGTTTCTTTATACTATGGTTTTCAGTATTAAGCATGTCAAATAAGTAACGGCACTAAACAATAAAATTAATATTTTGAACTAAGAGCAGCAAAATAAAAACAATTTTAGAGCTTGATTTTTTTTTTAAACAAAGAACATTTTGCACTAACAAACTAAACATCAGCACCAAATTTTATTATTTTATCTTAACATTTTGGTACCGTACGTTATTAATGATCGACACATACCCTCATGTATAGTGAACCAAGAGTTATAAGGTTATATGGCCATCATAAAATCATCCCATCGTGTCGAAGTTAAGTTGTTTACAATAGAAAAGGTTTTAGGGTCGTAAATAACGTGTCCACTGCAGCTCGACCGGCTCTTGTGGTTTCGTTCAGGGGCGACTTTCACTAAATATGAAAATCCACCACTCCACTATTTCTTTACTACCTGCAGCCGCTGAGGGTTCCGAAATAACCACTCGCTTTGAAAGCCGGCCCTGTTAAATATGAGCAAGAAATGTTTAGAAGATGATTTATTGCCAACCGGTAAGCTTAGTGCGAACCACACAAAGGGGGTATTTATTTGCGGTCAACTACTTTTATGATGGCCATATAACCTTATAGGTCTTGGTTCACTATACCTCGATAGCAATTTTTCCATATCCGCTTAATTTCATTGATGTTTCTTCACATAACTTTACGCTTTGAACATTTTTCTTTACAATTAGATCAAAATTGTTCTATAGAATGGGCTTGTGGTAAATTGGTATGGTATCACACCAAGTTATCAAGCCCGATCTATTGGATAGTATTGGAGTATTTATAAAGAAAAATGGCACGATGCAAGATCAAGAAATTACTGGATTCAAGCGGCGGACATGGAGGAATTGCTGTCGAAGTATTATAGAATGGAGGCTTGGCACGGTACTAAAATGTTAAATAAAGTGGCAAAATTTGGTGTTGATATCTAGTTTGGTATAAACTGCTCCTTGCTTCAATGAAAAATTAAGCAATTATTACTGTTAAATTTTTGTGCTTTTTTTTTGACTAGTGCACAAGATAGCAAATTTCTGAAAAATATTTTGACACAATTTTACTTGGAAATGTAGTTTGTTAGAAAGTTGTGTGGACCTCGGTCCGATTTTTTGTAAATTGACAGGAAGTTGGAAATAACCATTTTCGAATTACTAGGCCTCCAGAAATATTACTAAAGTAGATTTTTTATTACTGGTGTGCACCACGACTCTAATTTCATGTTCCCACTTGATTTTTGGGACACTAATGCAAACTTGCACCACACTTTTTATCACGTGATTACCGTTATGGCAGCACTTTGACTACTTTTATGGTAATCCTATTGCGGCCTTAAAAGATGGGTCTGACACGTCTATTTGCCAGGACTACAATTTTATTGTAATTTGTTTTTCTTATATTGTATGTGTCGGTTTGTTAATTAATTTCCGTTAAAAAAATCTAATGATTTTTTTATGTTTTAAACAAATTTAAAAATCCAAACAATCTTGTAAGACACACGTTCATAAAATGTTTTTTCGAGTACTGACGATATCACTGACTCATACTCGCAAACATATATTTTCCAGTCTTGTTTTTCAAAACACTATTGATTCACGGTATCTTCTACAAAGCACAGTAAGGAGACGTATGTATCCCATTTAAAAGTTCAAGTTTTATTTCAAAAGAAAACTGATCTAACCTTGTCACGTGTTAAAATAAATATTAGAATAAGAGCTAGACTTGGACGATTTGGGCCTTCACGATGTTCTGAGCATACTTACTTGTACATATTATTTAGAGAATATTTACCTTTCCAACTAATTTAAAGACATGTATTTTTAGGACCTCAAGACGCTATAACAAAAAAGGTTGGTGATGAACCAACCATCAAGTTATCAAGCTGTCTTGCTAATCATCGGCTATATACAACAATAACGAGAAAGACAGCTGATCTTTCGGTACTAATTAGAGTTCAGTGCTGGCATAACCGAAAAAATTCGTTCAAATAGGTATTTTTACTTAAAAAAAAAAAAAAAATACATTAATTCAACTTAAAGTTGAATGATTTTATTGTAAAGATTCATAGATACACAGATTTTTCGTTTAGTAAAATAATGGCATATTAGATTTGTTACGATGACTACTTTTTTTCAAATAAAAACGTATTTAATTGTTAGATAGTAACACACTATAGAGGTGGACATTGTTTTCATTTATTTAAAGTATGTTTGGCGCTAAATGCTAAGTTGCTATTTTGAAATAAAACCTTTGTTTATTTAGTTTAGGGCCGTTACTGAAGTCTTAAAAGACTATTTACGTAATTAAAGTTGCAACTATTAAAGTTCTTCACTTTTACAAAATTCCTAGTAGATGGTAATTTTAACTTAAAAACGTGAAATTTTCAGTACGTACAGTCATGCTCAAAAATGAATAGCATGGATACAAATTCGGATTGTCATCTGTACGGGATTTATGTGAGCATAACTGTACACCATTTCTATCAAAACCATCCTACATTAGCTGTCAAAGAAAAGGATAGATAGAAGTGAAATATTATTCAAAATTAGAAACAAATAGTCATAGAATGCCAAAATAATATCCAAATGTTAATAACCGCAGCGTAGATATTTACTTTCTCATATTCTGAAAAAAAAATGGAGTTTGAAAAATTGTCTGAAAGTCTGTGCTTTGTCATTCGCTTTATTAGATTTAAAGTTCGTAAAACAAGACTTCATCTAAGTAAGTACAAAGTGCAGTAGTGGAAGTATGCATAATAAGTTTATTGTACTTTTTAAAAATATCTAATATTATATTGCCACAAATACATTATTGCTTTTGAATTGTTTTTTCTACCATTTAATTTGAAATTATTAATGCTAGAACAGTGGAACTCAAAGAATTCATGATTATTGAATGTATTTGTGCTGCCTATTGTTAGTGATGTGTTGAAACTAAAGTGTGTTAACCCCGATATTAATTTATGATGTCATATAGGAGTATATATTAAGTGCAACCGACTTTTTTATGTACCATGATTTACTTTCAGAGTTTTAACAACTGTAAACCCAACGAAATCACCATGCAGTGGTGTCTATCCTGTGATACACCATCCTCTAAGCTTTCTGCTTGACGTCTTGTATTAGTTACTATTAGATCTACTAGATTTTACACAATAGGAAGTAGAAGGTAAATTTACAATTTACATAAATTATTATTGATACAGAAGTTCTCCCAACAGTATTTTATTTATATTATTCATAAAAAAGCATTGACTTAGGGGCATATTTGTATTTTTATTTTTTATATTTAAAAATTATTCCACTATTTTTAAAGCAGAAAGCTTGTAAAGCTGTTAAAAGTGCCGTGATTTTGGAAAAGTAATAATTGTTTACGTTACAAGTGCAGAAATGCAGAAATTGCCTATACATACAAGCTAAAACGCGGCCCAAGGAGAAAGGTTATTTGTGAATTATGATTAGGGAGCGGATTTCTGTCGGGCTAGACAAGGCCAAACTCGGTACGGCTCGTTCGGGATGGGAATTCATTGCAGTTACCGGCTGTACTTCGTTTATTTGAGATTAGAATAACGCTGCTTCGTTGCACTCTGCTGTTAATTCCAGTTCTCATTTACTTAGCCGTTTGATTAATAAATCGTTAATTGTATTTATGAAATCAAATGACAATTAAATTCAGTGATTACCTATCACCCGCTACTGAGTCCCGGCGATGCAGCGCGTCTCCACCTATAATCGTGACGTAGCCCGACAGAAATCCGCTGTCTAATTATGATATACCAGCAACCCGGCCCAACTGCGCACGAGTAGCACACATGTGCAACCCGGAGGTTGAATATTTGTTTGTTGTGTTGTCTATATAGTGGTGAAACCACAGCATAGAAAACAATCAGTAGAGACAGCTCGTGTCGGCGCCTTTGTTCTTTCTGACCCGAATTTTAAGCCGTCATCGGTGGTCGTTGCCTAAACTATTCCTAGATGTCGCCACCCAATTTAAAAAGTATCACTTCATTTACAATTTCAAAAATTGATTCGTGTACGCAATTTATTGCAAACTGTCTAGTTTGCTCAAATCGTATAATCGTGAATCGCAATAAGAAAAAAGAAAAGTCCATATTTAATTTATAAACACGATGATTTGTTACAGTTTTTATTTTATTCATAACCACCGGTTGTTGTTCGTTTGCGACGACTTTTTAAAGAAAAAATGTGTTATGTTTACTATCTTTTCCAAGAATTCCAAACACGAGGGAGAGAATAAAGCGCACAAAGATTTTACATTTTATTGTGAAAATTACATTTTTATACTATTTGTACAATTCTACCGGAAAAGCAGTCTTAAACAAGCAAAACTGGCAAAAATATTGTAACAAAACTGCCAAATTTCAAATATTTTAGACGTCAGTTGGGCGCCCTCATTCGGTCATAATGCGAACGACTACCCACGAAAACGGGTCACGAAAAACGGCGAGCCGTCTCTACTGATTGATATCTATGCTGTGGTGAAACTCGCATGAAAATCCGTGAAGTAGTTTTTGAAATTATAGCGTTCAGACATACAGCCAGACAGACAGAGGCTTTGTTTTATACTGTGTATAGAAATGAATTATTTTTAATTTTTACAAAAGAAATGAACAACATCGGAATAAAATAAATAAAACAAAAAAAAATACGTCTCGTTTTTAAACAAAACAAAAAAAACTGTTTTAAAATAATTAAAACAAACCGTTATTTATTCACTAACATCGCTACAAAGATATATTTGAGTCATTTAAAAGTAAACGATTGTTTTAGCGAAAATAAAAAAAAACACCACCCGTTGGTTTCAGTTGTTAACAAAAAACTATAGTGGTGATTTTCATATTCTTAAAGTGACCATAATTGTATTATTTATTAAAATTAAATAATAAGTCCCGGAACGATTGAATAGCTTTGTTATTTGAAAATCTTTTTTTTTTGGAAATTTGGTATGGATATATAGTTAAACATGGTGACTTGATTACAGCAGTTCTTCTTTTTTTACCGCTTGCGGTTTGACACACACGGTCGCCTACTTTTTTTTTATGGAACACCAGATTTTTTTGACATTTTCTGATGCAGAATAAAAAACTCATTTCAGAAATTATCAACCTGTTTATTTCTACTGATAGAACAAATAGAAAACAATTCACAAAAAAACACCGACGATGATAACAAACCGTTATCATCTTAGCCAATTCAGAAAACAAAACAACATTTTATCTGTTTCTAATTTGATGTAACATCAAACGTTTTTGTAAAAATCTATAATTTTCCTTATATTATTTCATTACATATTATAAAACGATAGAAATCTGATAAGCTGGCGTAAAGGTACAAAAGTCGTCCCCGTCATTAATAAAGTCATCTTACCGAAAAAAAAAAATTTTAAATTTGTAATTCACACTTACAGTTTGAAGCTAACTGAAAAATAAAACCGACTGTTATGCATTTCATTCCATGGTGATCGACCGTTACATCATAAATTGTATGTGTGACCTTAAATTTTAATATAATTACACTAGTTAGTGGTTGCAGCAAAGAATTATGTTTTGCAAACTTCAAACATTTTTAAATATTTACATAATAGTAGCCATTTTTTGGAGAGTTGCCTACCAAAAATTGCAGAATTTTTACTATACACATTTTGTTAACATGTAATATGTATAAACGAAAATTTGTTGACATTTAATGTAGGTATGTATATATCTGTTATAGATATTTTGCATTGAATGAGGTAAAGCAATTTTTAAAACAATGCGGATTATTAAAATCGGTTCATTTGGTGTTAACATTAAATATTAGCAAAAAAAACTGCTGTAGTCATTTGTTTAAGCCGTATGAAAACAAAAACTAGGTTGTTACTTTGTATAATTTTATCATGATTACCATAATTTTTAATACAAGATTAACAATCAAAATATAATTACGTAGGAAAAAAATTAGCGTGTGTTTTATTATCACAGATTGGTGTAATGGGCTTTAAATATAAGTGCATGTGACATTCTAGTCGTTCATAATTTAAAAAAACTATCTAGTCTCGTAATATATTGGTCTAAGTGATCTTTTTATATATCTATTTACTGTTACAATCTATTATGTAATAATTCTTGTTGTAGTCATTACTTATTCATGTATTATAAATTATATATCAGTCTGTGTTTGTTGATATTATACCTTTTCTGCATCTTTCGAAAGGTGTCCAGAAGAATTAAGAAATTGTAATCATTTCTTTACTCGAAATACTTACATCGCCGTCATCAATGCAGAGTTATTTACATTATTTACTTGTTGAGTCTGTTTGCAAATAGTCTCGGAAGTTTCGGCAAACAACCACTTTTGTTTCGAGGTCTAGAAACAACTGCTACTAACCGCTACCGCTAGAACCTAGCTGGACTTGACATAAAAGTTATAACAATGGCGTCCATACTACCATGCGTCGTGGCTTCACCAAAATGCACTAGAAATGTCAGAATGTTCTACTAACAGCTAGTCTGTGTAATTTAAAGCCTCTGTATATTACATACTGAGATGGAAAGTACTCCATTCTTGTCGAGAGAACTATAGATTACTAGTTCGCAAGACACAGGAATGATACTTTTGTCAAAGTTTATATGTATACTATTTTATTCACAATCATTTAGTAAAACAAGCAACATTATAATAATAAAAAACAACTACCTCCATAATACACTGACCGGCAAAAAAACCGGCCACCCTCAAAAATTTCGCAAAACCACTTTCATTACACAAACCACAATTATTATTAATTTAACTAGTGATCGTTATTTTATTAAAGAACCATTCTCTATTGACACATGTGGTACAAATTAGCAAAAAAAGAAGACATATAAACGCAGAATTAAATTTAATTTAACAGAATAACAGAAACAGACCCAAGTAAGATATTTTCTTAATTAAAACAATAAAGGAGGCTCTTGTTGTAAATAATGTTTTTCATCATTTGATTATAAGTTTAGCAGTTAATAAACGTTTTCACCCGAAAACAATCCCGTTCACTCTTACAGGGCTCCGTAACGAAATAGCGCTTGACAAAATAGCGGCGACTAAACAGCGCCGCGACAAAACAGCGACGCGACACAACAGCGATCGACAAAAAGGCGCTCGACAAAATAGCGACGCGACGTAACAGCGATCGACAATATAGGGTCCACACAAAAAAAACGATGCGACATAACAACGATCTGACACAATAGCTATCAACAAAACGGCTGTCATTAATTAGAAAAGTCCAGGTGAATTAAATATCGACGAAACAGCGACTACCAAAGCGCCAGGACGTTAGAGTCGCGTAATGCCCGTAACTTTAGTCGATTGCACAAACTAATTTCAAACGCTTTCAAAAATAGCGATTGAAGTAGGATCAGCACGTTCATGTGGATCAAAGCTATTTTTTGTGACATTCGTCATAAAAATATTTACTGATTTGTCACACAAAATAAAATGTCAAAAACGCAGAAAGGGGGAAAATTCTCTTCCATGAGGGTTATAAATATAGAAGAGACAAAGTACACCTCAGCACAGTGTCGTGGCGTTGTACCGAGAAGGGTTGCAACGGCAGGCTAATAGTTGGAGATAATTTCAAAAGAACACTGTCATGCCCCTGAGCCTGTCGAAAAGGAAATGTTTAGGGTGATAGAACGTATGCGCGAATTGGTTACTACATCCACTGACAGTCCCAGGGTGATTATTCAAAAGAGTGCGGAAAATTTACCCGAAGAAGCTGCAGTGCATCTTCCAAATTACGAAGCTGTTAAATTTAGCACTATAGTTGTATTAACTATTGTTATATTGTTTGTTATAATATTGTTTTGATAGCTAATATAGTATTTAACGTTATTAGGCTGATATTAAGCGTATAACAGTCGAGGATAATTGTTTGATAGCCGAGGCGTATAAATATTATCCGAGACTGTTATACGGTTTATAGGCCGTATTTCGTTCACTATTTTTCGTCATACCTAAAACTAGTTAATTAAAAAAATACTCATAAAAAATACAAATTCAAGAAACTAATCAGGTAGTCTTTTTATCCATAGTAACGGTATGTTTATAAATCAAAAATAAAATTTTGACATGTTGCCTAAAAATGTAGCTGTTTGTGAAATTCCCGAAGATATTCGCGATGAAGCGGCCTTTGCAAATTTGGCTTTATTGCCTCTGAAGACAAGTGTCAGGTATGAAAAGGAATATCAGAGTTTTACAATATGGCGTATAAAGAGAGGCGTTAAGCAAGGTTAGAAATAGAGAATATCTATTAAATGACTTTGGGCGTTAAGGGGATTAGTGACGATATTTTGCTCTGCTACGCGTCAGAATTGAGCAAAATTTTTTCGCCAAACAGCTCATGGACAAAAATTTCCATGTTAAAGACATGCTTGAAATTACATGAAAGTATCGACATTTCTGGGCTAGTATTTATCATTTTTAGTTACGTCTTATTACTCAAAAGTTACGTTTGTTACAGATATGGAAAACTTTTTATGTTCCTGAAACGCAAATCTGAATTTTATAAACCAAAAAGGGTAAAAATCCTAACAAATGAGCAAATCATCAGATTTCTTCTGGAAGCACCAGATGAGTACTTTTTGCTGGAGAAGGTTATTTTAGTGTTCTAGTAATTTGTAATTTATTGAAAAACGTGATGGAATAAATCTGATTAAAAATAATTAGATTGTTAAATAAATAACGTTCACGGCTGTTATTATAACGTCCGTGGCTGTTATCGATGACATAACTTCCATGGAGACACAACGGATATGATCAAATAACAAAGAGGTATGACAATGATAATTTTTTAACAATCTACATACTAATGAGAGCTGTTTCGTACCGCATTTTCTTTATCGGATCGTTACCTTGTGAGAACGTGCTGTATTGTCGATCGCTGTTATCATTGTTTAAGTATATTAATAATATACTTAAACAATGCTGTTATGTCGCGTCGCTGGTTTATCGAGCGCCCCTCCTGCTGGAAATTCGCCCTTATATAGCTTCGTTTTGGACAGGAATAGACCCGTGTTTTTTATGTGGTACCGTTTGCCTGTATATGGTCATGAAACTGCGAAGATGCGTTAACCAATCGGTAAGTCCGCTTCCTTATATGGAAAAAATATGGGAAGCTGATGAAATCCCAGTTCCGAGGATGAAGTGGGGACCAGTCTAGCGAGGGCTAAGATGAGTGTGCGTGCACACATGCACTGCTGAGTTGATTATTTCACTACAATTTTTTGTCGTAATGATGTGTAACGCAATCAACAAGTGTATAAGAAAGAGAGAGGTGTAAGAAGGTGTGCAACGGACTAACCGAAACCATTTTCATCAATCAATAATCAGCGAAAAACTTCACCAACAAACCAACACAGAACATCATAAACCAACAATTTCTTCTCTACAATCAAATTGGTCAAATGTCAACGAAGGATAACTAATGCCGTCATCAAAATGTGTCCAAATTTTGCATATCGTCCAATTTCGCTATTCGGCAGGCTTTATCAACCCAACTATCAACGCAAGGAACGATAATAAGTATCGTCCAGGCGTACGGTCGAAGGCCTTCGAAAAATCAAAAAATGACAGATCAGCACTTGCTCAGATGCTAGTCCTTTGCCTACTGACACTGTTTCTGGCTGCTGATCAATTTCAAAAAAAACAATGAACTGAGTACTGACACCAGGACAATCATTAGCGAAATGCCCAATCATTTTACAAGGTTGTCATAACTTAAGAAGATCTGGTAGTTTCTTTCAGAATCAAAGATGACGGAAGGTCTAGCGTCTCATTAGGCTTAATATAAATTTGTCTCCTAAAGTTCAAAAATGATTGTATTCATTGTTTATAATAGCCGCCCGCAAAAAACACATTTGTGATAGCGTTGTAAACAATGTTGAGCAGTATCTAGATACTTGTATCTAAATAAAGTATCCAGATACATTTTTGGGTATCTAGTATCTGTATCTAGATAAAATCGAATTTAAGCACAAAATATCTGTATCTATAGTCTTTACCACATCTACTGGAACACCACCTGTTGATTTTGCCTAAAATTTAGCAATTGCTAACAGTTTTCGGTTGATTGACAACGGCTTTTAGTTCGAAAATTGTCTGAATATGAACGTTGCCAAATTTACGATCAACAAGTGATCTTTCAATAGAAATGGCAAATACTATAGATACAAAATTAATGGCGCAGATACAGATACATTTTTTTATTTCACTTTTTTTCAGTAGTTATTAGTTGAGTTATGCTAGTAGTAATTTTTGATACTTCATGTTGGTGATTTTGATCACATAAACAAAAATAGAGGTAAGAGGTCCACTAAGAGTCTTCTGTCACGGAAATTTTCATATTTCAAATACCATCATTTCCTACATTGCAGCCTTCAGTACTTATACACCTTTAAATATAATCCTGAGGGGTAATAAATCTAAGCCATGGTAAGATGGTATTTTAAAAACCATAAACCACAATTCACTATTCACTGCGTTCTACCCTTATCGAGGCAATGAATTTTATCTGTGTACCTGAGCAACCCGGGTCCGGTAGACCCGCTGATTGTATTTATGGTATTAAATAAGAGTAATTTTAATAGTAAAAATATTTGTTTAAGGTATGTTATTATTTTTAGAAAATAATAATTGCGTGTTACATAATGAATTATTTTTTCAATTAGCACAAATTAGTTCTGTAATCGACTAATCGAATGTTCAATGCACACATTTCTCTCGCATAAATCGCATATTTGTTACTGTTTTATACCTTTATTTTTCAGACAAATGTAGCATCTTTTCCTGTTGCCACATGTGTCATTTCTTCACTTTTTCATTGTTGGACCTAACGCGAGGCGGGCTTGGCAAGTCCATTTTGCCCTAGAATGTGCCGATTATGTTTAAGTGCAAATCTTGGGCAATAAAATTAATATTTTTACAACCCTCGGTAGAATAATTTATCGTGATATATTCTCAGAAATCGTGAAAGGAGATTAAAATAAAATGAGTTTCAACAAAAATCTGAAAGTTAAAGTTGCACTCTGGTGATTCCGAAATTGTACTTATTTTGCCTTAAACGGAACCAGCAATTCTTCCTAAAATGTATATACCTGCCGCACCGGGATAGACGATTACCGGACATGGTTATAAAAACATCCTAAGCCGATATTGAAGAATAATAATTTATGACAGGTTGTCGACAACAAACCTTCACCACAGAATAATCACTTCCCGTATTCTTTTGAATTAATTTTAATGCTGGAGATAATTATTAGATATACTCAAACACAATTTGGACACTGTTGTATGGGAATAAAAACAAAAAAAATATTCTTTTTAAGCGTACGTAATAAATATTGCACAATTTGCGACACATCAAACAGCGAAGCGATGGTCTAAGTATTTGCAGGAAAAAAGAAAAGATTTTTCAGACTTGAATAACTATGCTAATACAATAAAATGTTTGTTTTTTAAATTTAATACCACAATCCCTTCTTCTGCACCTGTGGAGCGGGTGTTTAGTAGCGGAAACCAAATTTTGACACCAAGAACAAATAATTTAGGTGAGAATATAATTCATGGATCACATGACCCCATTTCTTCCAATAGAATTTGTCCATGCCCTTAGTTACATGTCTATCACAGCGATAATAATTTTATTGCCTTATTGTGGTCTGTTGCTACCTAAATTTAAAAACTGTCAAATTTGACAAATTTTAGAATTTCATAATTTTTTTTGTCTATTATGGCTTGCCAACGTTAGGGCAAGCTCAAAACGACGAAATCAATTCTATTATCAAAAAATATGTTCATTTATTATACATATTCTCATGTTGAATATAACTCGTGATATGATTAATAATCGAAGATATGGCTCGTGAAACCGAAGCAGCACATTCAACTCGTGCTTCGCACTCGTTGAATCTGCAGCTCGGTTTCACTCGAAATATTATCGATAATAATCATATCACTTGTTATATTATAATTGACAATACGTTCGAAATGTTGTTAATTTAAAAAAAAATCATTAAACAATGCATACAAAAATACATAAACATGTTTTCAGTTATTTTATTCGCCAAAGCTTCAAAAAGTATCTGTTTTCTTGTATCTGTATCTAGATACATTTCGAAAAAATCGAAAACAATCTGTATCTAGATACTTTTATCTTCCATATATCTATATCTGTATCTAGATACTTTTAAAAGTATCTGTCCCCAACACTGGTTGTAAAACCTGTGCTTTTCACAAGATTCTCAAGAATAGAACGTAGAATCGATATACAAACGTTCAAAAAGATCATTCTCTTAGCCAGGTTAATTATTCGACGCACCGCGATTTGTTTATCTTGAATAGTGATAGCTGAATGCTCGGAAATAATTTGGTCCATGTACCAAACATCACTCAAATAAAGGCCTATGCATTTATTAGACATATGAAAACCAAAAATAACATTCTTTGGTGTGGCTATATCACCTATAGCCACCACATAATCTTAAAGTTTCAAATTTATAACAGAGGTTAGCACAACGGCTTGTTTCTTTGCCGGAAACTGACATCTGCATTCTTGGCAGGTTGACCAAAAGGTGCTGTTTAATTAGACTTCCAGTCGTACAAGAGCAAGAGTACGTGCTGAACTATGCTGAACATGAAGCGAGCGCCACGACAAACCGCCGTCACTCGCCTCGTCAAAAAATTCGCTATCAGCTGTTAAAAAATATGAGTGATACTGATAACGGAACGACGAATACTATAATAAATAGCGACGATATTTTAAACCCAACTATGGTCAACACAACACGTATCGGTAACATCCAATAACCACCAATAGTACATCTTTAAACGAACAGCAGGTATGTGTTTAATTTAAACTCACCCAAAAACGCTGGAAAGTGAGGGGCAAGCAAAAACACACCCGCACAGTTCGACAGTCAAAAATGTTTGCCAAATTTTTGTAAAATCTTTGAGGCGATTTTATCGGACCATCTCTTATAATGACGTATCATTTCCAAAAAATTTCGGGCAAGATGAGCAAATCAGGTTCTCATAGATCAGTGAAAAGCCATGAAAATATGACTTCCATGTGAATGTCATTTGCCCGAAATTTTTTGGAAACAACGGTAGAACCTTACATTAGTGACACTCAACATCGATTTGTCCATAAAAAATCAGCAGTAATGCATCTATGTGTATTCACTCAATATGTATGTGTGTGTTTACAGTTTTGATCCGCTTAATCAAGTCAATGTAATTTACACCGATTTGACTAAACATTTGTGAATCATTAAATTATGTTCCATACTTCGACGGTCTTTTGGAAAACTTGATGAAATTATTTCAATCTATTTTAAGTAACAGGTATCAGGTGTACTGCGGCTGACAATCGAATAAATTTCTCGAAGTGGTATAACGGACGCTCATAATCTTGGACGTATTATGTTTGTATTATTTTAATGATGCTCTTAGTTTGTTTAGTTCTCCTATGTTTGCTTACGCTGACGATTTGAAAATTGTTAACTGTAGAAGACTGTTTAAATTTACAACATGATGTCACTAAGTTTTATGCATGGTGTATACAGAATGAGGGGTATTTGCAGTACCACACCAACTTGCCATAAAATCATTTCCCAAGTAGTATTGTTCCGGCCAGCTACGGGGCTGGCTTAATACAACGTCTTTGTAAAGTGCCCAGGAGACTTTCAATGCAACCATCCCAGAAAAGAAATGGGACATTTGGCCGGCAAGGGTAATGTTTAAGAAGAGCGGTATACGTAGTTTTTCACGTTGTTACGTACTGTTTTGAACATTTTAATTACAGTGTCATATAAAGAAGTTATTTCCTTTGAGAAAAAAAAAAAAAAATGGAAAGGTAACTGAGTCAGAGGAAAGAAGAAGTGCGTTCCAAAAAAACGCAAATGAAAGGCAATTTGTCTTAAGGATTTTATAACTGATATATTAGAAGAAGAGGAAGACGGTCAAATCCCACGTCCCCCAAAAATTTATTAAAGGTAACAGTAACTAAAGTTTAAGTATGTCGCTTTATTGTATGGAAAAAACCGTTTGCATTTCAGCACCAACTTCACCAGCTGCATTACCTCCACGCCAAGTGATATTTGTATGTTAAAAACGAAGTGTATTGTATAATTTTTTATATGTTCCATGATTTTAGTATCTGCCAAATCCTATGGTGACATTGCCACTACTTCTGGTGATACTTGTACGATAGTCGCCTAATACGTGTAATTGTTTTTTTAAATATTTATTGTTCTGTTTTAGCATCAGTAAGAAGCTTGGAACTTACTAACAATAACGACCTGCGACCTGTACGTAGAATACAATATTATCAAAACGTCTTAGTTTAAGTTTTTAATTTTGTAGTATCGTTATGTTCAGATGGTAACGCTTCTCCTCAAGACTTCTTAAACATGACTGAACCACATAACGTTGACGGTAAATTTAAATAAAGTTAAAACAAAAAATTACACATAGCTAGTGCGGGAGTTTTGCGAACGGATATTATATTTGTAGATCCAATTATAGACAAACTAAATGAAATCGTAAGAAAAACCACCCGTATATAATTATGGTGAAAAGATTATTACAAAAAGTTAGTAATGATCCTACACATACCCCACTACATAATTCTGACATTAGTACTACATGTATACAAGCTTTCACAAAGTACGGGCTATTATGTGAATACGATGAAAAATTATAAGCTTTGGAGGACGCCAGAAATGAACTGTAAATATGTAATATTAGTTTATACGTATCACGACCTGCTTTATCAATATACACCGGCCTATTTATTCCCTTGTTGCAAGTGTCGTCCGCATGGCGCCACTCAACGGCTAAATGCCAAACAAAATAAGCGCCAACTACAAAAAATACATCGATTCAATGTGTCAAAAGTGACATGAACAACCTGGGAGGACCCGCGCCGCTCCCGTTTTTCCCGTCCAGTGGGTTTTAAGGCTGGCCCTGCTGTGGTGGGTGTTTGAGCCACCACCCGGCCTGGTCTAACGCACGTTACCAGCTACCCAGTCCGTACCTATTGGAAATGGGATTGGTTGACTTGATGAGCTACGAAATAAATTTCGAACCGCAGGCCTTTTGAAGTAAATGAAAAAAGCGAGTCAACTAGAGGCAGCCGCCACGCTCCCCAACTGCTGAGTTGAATCCTTCTAGACAACTTACTACCCGCACAGCTCCTTTACTAGAAAGTAAAACCTTACCAGAACGCAAGCGTTTCGTCACGGGTCGGACTTCTTCACGTTTCCACGTCCCAGATTCCGTGCGGAACTAGTCCGTGGGGACCATACGATGCGATGCATCGGGCTCCTTAGTTCGACGGGTACTAGTGAACCTGGCTAGTGCTGTCTCGAAACTTAGTAAGCTTTGCTTCCGTGACCTGTCGAAACAGGCGGCTAGTTCGAACCGATAATCCCAGCTCTCCCTGGAGTGTCAAACGTCCTCTCGCCTCCCATACGAATAAGGCTAACTCACAACCTGCCCATCCAGTTCGAAGGACTAACACACCATGATCCGGTACCCAGTCGGAGCTCGAGTTGCTCTACACCTGGCCCAGGCCTGTTCAAGAGGCTCTCTCTAGGTCCGTGGGTACTAAGGCGAGACTGACGGTAAGGTCCGCCTGCCGTTTTCCCCGTGGCCTGTCGGTGACACTCCATGGCGGGATCGCATTCGAACATCGCCCCGCCCGCGCATGCCGCGGGCTTCCTTAGCTCCTTAACCGCCCCAGAGCCTGTCACCAGCCGGGACCAATGTAGCAGAAGTACCCGGTCTCAGATTCTCAACTCGGTTAAGCGAGATTAGAGGCTATGGTGAGCCTCCTCCATAGCTCCCGTCACTAAAAACAGCCTGTACCTCGTGAAGGTGGGAGTTGACATTGAGCAACAGAGGCTGTGTGTTCGCTTCTTTGTTCCATAAAGAATGTCGTTCCAGAACATCATACTGCTCCTCTCACATCCCCCTGACGGAGGTAACGCTTGCCAGCCCCAGTTTCCTAGTGCCGAAGGAGCCAGACTCGTCAAAAGTGACAGTCAGAATGTTCTCTTGCAATAATCTACAATGATGAAATACACCATAGATTTGCATATAACCTCCAAGCCACAGAACCCAATTTCAAGCCATAGCAAATGAAGCCAGGAGGCCCAGGAGAGCGCCATAGCGCGTTTCCGCTTTCCAACTGAGTTTTGGGTAAAAGACATGGTACAAGGTACAAGCAAAAGGAACATAATAGGAACGAGGAACATATGTCAGGTTGGGAAGCGGCAAATTTAATTTGAATTTGAATGAATTTGAACGTTACGAGATACAATAATTTTAGGTAATGGTATATTTGTAAACATTTTCTGATATTAAAACTCACACTAGTGATATGTTATTAACCTAATCTGACAAATTTGTGGAAGTGATGTCCATTTGAGCACTTGACATATACCCATTGAGTATTGAGTGGCGCCGATGTGGGAAAATCTGGCGTTTCTCCGAGGTCAAAAAAACAATGAAATTCAAAACAAATGAACAGGCCGATTAATAACTAATATAGCAAGTCGTAATATGTATCTATGTAAATTTTAAATAAAAAAAAAATAGGGCAATATTTTCCGTTTATGTGGAGGCACTTCCACTAAAAAAGACCGTATAAGGAGAGATGTACGCCGCGTATTTGACGATCAGTTAGCTCGTAAATGCTCTTGGCTGGGAAGGAAGAATAATTTTCCAGTGTCAAACTTAATGATTATGGATATATTAAACAGTAATACTCCTAATATGTAATGTTTATTATTTTACTGATTTAAAGTACATACTTACTTTTTAGATGCAGTTCGGAAAAATTTCCCTTTATTAACGGACAAAATATTTGAATCAACCGTATCTACATGGCTTAGACAAGCTTCACGAGAAAATCTGATAAATAATTGTGTAACTTTAAAATAAATTGTACAACTTCAAAAACGGTTTCGACGAATTTGATAGAGCAGCTTAACATAACTATTTATTTGTATTTATGGGTCATTTGCATTTGGAGATTCAAAAAAATAAATTTTAAATTTGATGTTTTTTTTAGTGCTTATGAGTTTATTCTGAGAAGATGAGTCTAAAACACAGTTTGTATTAATGGTTGAGCTTAAATGTCACAAAAAGGGCGAAAAAAATTACTAGCAACAAATTCATCCACGTCGTAACAGAATGTCCATGGTTGTGATAATCATAACGTATTTTTAAACATGTTAACAAAAGTAATCTTACTAACTGGAATAAAAATAAACATTTTACTCTTTTTTAGTAAGCGAAAAATTTTTGTTTTGCTGTGTGCGCAAGTAGACTAACTAAGTACAAAGGGTAAATTAGGAATAATTTTTAGGAGATAGATAGTATTTTGAAGGATAGGTTAACTAATATTAGGTTGGAAAACACTAGTGCGAAAAATTCAGTAAATATGACTGCAAAATTTGATTTGAAAGTTGCCTCTGGCTTGTTGCCACATATGGATAATTCGGAAGAGGTAACACTACGACTCATCGAAGGTATTGAGTTATATGATTCAATGTTAGAGAACGCAGGGAAACCATTGTTAACCATGTACGTGCTAAAAACTAAGTTGTCACAAAGTGCAAAGTTGCGATTAAACAAAACGTATCCGTCAAATTCAGATTTAATAAAAGATATGAGAGAAAAACTTATCGCAAAAAAATCTATATCGGGTTTATCGATGCAACTTTTTTCAGCCAAACAAGGCAATAAATCGATACAAGATTTTGGTCGTAATATTGAAGACCTAATGTTAAATTTAACAATTGCACAGGCAGATGGAAATGATACCGCGAGCGGCATTTTAGCAAATACCAATGAAAAATTGGCGATTTCGGCATTTGCCAATGGGTTGCGAGACGAAAATCTTCGCCTAATCACCAGGGCGCGGGGATTTTCGACTCTTGCAGAAGCTATCAATGGTGCGGTTGAAGAGTCAAATTTCGTCAAAAATTCTGAACAAGTATTCTATACGCGAGATCAGAATGTGCGAGGACAAAATATGCGTGGTAGAAATAGTTTCGGAAATAGGCAAAGAAATTTCCGGGGTAATTTTCATTTTGGAAATAATCATGAAAATCGAAACGTTTATTTTGAACAAAATCGAGGTCAAACACGCGGAAGACATAATTTCAGAAATTCGCATCGTCAGCGTAGTGGTGATAGCCGTAGTCGTGGGTCATATGCTGCGTCACATTCGCGACAACTAGGTCAGGCTTACCCAATAATTGAGAAAAAAGAACAAGAGGTAGGATCTGCAGATGAGAATCAGTCGGAACAAAGTAGACTACAGTTTTTTCGGGACTTCGAATGAGAATGATGAAGTTGTGCTTAGTATGAATGGGCTAAATTTTGTAAAAGTGAGATATGGAATGAGTGAACTGAGATTGTTAGTAGACACAGGTGCATCTTTGAGTATAATTTTTAAGAGTAGTTTGACAGAAGATGAATGGGTAGATGAAAGTACAAAAATAAAAATTGCCGGTATAGCAGGTACTACTTACACAGTAGGAACCGTTGACATTGACATTGAGGTAGGTAAGGAAGTGTTGACGCATAAGTTTCATGTAATGAATGAGTGTGAGTGTGAAATGGATGGAGTAATAGGAGCAGATTTCTTAGCTAAACAAGGAGCTATGATAGACTACGAAAATTTTTTGCTTTACTTGAATAATGGAACAGGTAGAATATGTGTGAATTTAGAGTCAAAATTTAACAAAATAACTAAAATTCCTTCTAGATGTGAAACAATACAATATGTAGAAATTGAATGCGAGGAAGAATGTGTGATATTACCGGAAGAAGTTTGTAAGGGAGTTTTTGTTGCGAGTGCAGTAGTCAAACCGGGAAAATCGAAGGAAGTACCTATTAGATACATTATCTAAAACCATTCCATAAAATTATCCATTATTACGCTTGTTATGGTGGCCATGGTTTTGACACCCTACGCGGGACGACATTATCATTGCAATTCTTGGTCAAAATACGTTACAAAATTCACATGACTTAAAATTGTAATAATGAAGCTTAATAAAACGGCTTTTGTGTCTCAAACCTTCTTTTATATAACAAAGAATATGGTAAACCCCAAATCAGAAAAAATCTGTGCAATTTGAGGCAAAAACGTCAATTCATAAGTTCAAACATGCAATGTAATCATTTCATTAAAAAATAAGGTAGGAAAGGGCAAATCACATTTTTTCCACGAAACGAGAATGACCCTTACTTACCTATGAGTATATTTTTACTTCCCGAGCGTAAGCAAAGGAAGTATTGTAATCGAGTCCGTCGGTCGACTCTCTACTTTTACGTTTTCTCGATCTTTCATGACCCCTAGAACACGAAAAAATAGGTCTCCCATTTCCGTCTGTCTGTCCGTCTGTCTGCCGTCCCCGATTTTTATTAGACAGATAATCTCCGAAAGTACTGGACCGATTGTTGTGAAATTTTGTACTTATATTAGGAATTTCATGTAGATGGTAAAACGTTCACCAAAATTTGTCTAATCATTCCCACCACTAATGCGATGACGTCACTTCAAAATTGTACATAGTAAATGCGTTTTAAATAGTATAAAATAACATAGTCCTACACATGTAGTTTACGACTCCGAATTGAGTTTTTACCCGAAACGTCCAGATTTTTGGAAAAAAAAATCAAAATTATAAAACAACATTATGCAATTTAATTTTGAATCTGCTAACCCGAATGTTTTGAAGTGTTGCAGATGTTTTAAGGCTATTAAGAGCATCATAAATCTTTAGTCAAAATATATTTGGTTATCCCCTCCAAAAACTTGATGACATCAGCTCAAAAGTTTGCCGAATAAATCCTATCTAAAATGTACAAAATATGATGAGTCTGTACTTGTGATCTATCACTCCATTCATATTTTTCGGATTTGCATATACAGGGTGACTCAAAAAAATTAATGAATGCGTAAATTTATTTTACTGATTTACTCAGGAACTACAAAACGGAATGCTTTGAAATCTTGCAGATGTTTTAAGGTTATAAAAAGCGTAATAAATGTTTAGTCAAAATATATTTGCTTATCCCCTCCAAAAACTTGATGACGTCAGCTCAAAAGTTTACCGAATAAATCCTATCTAAACTGTACAAAATGTGATGAGTCTGTACTTGTGATTTATCACTCCATTCATATTTTTTGAATTCGCATATACCGGATGACTCAAAAAAATAATGAATGCGTAAATTTATTTTATTGATTTACGCAGGAACTAAAAAACCGAATGCTTTGAAATCTTGAAGATGTTTTAAAGTTATCATAAGCATGGTAAGTTTTTGATCAAAATTTATTTGCTCATCCCCCCTAAAAAATTTATGAGGTCACCACAAAATTTTGCTGAATAAATCCTATCTAAAATGTACAAAATATGATGAGTCTCTTCTTGTGATTTGTCATTCCGTTCATATTTTTTCGATTTGCATATACAGGCTGACCCAAAAAAAATTATGAATGCGTAAATGTATTTTATTGCTTTAATCAGGAACTACAGAACCGAATGTTTTGAAATCTTGCAGATCTTTTAAGGTTATAATGAGCATAATAAATTTTTAGTCAAAATATATTTGGTTTTCCTCTCCAAAAAACTGATGACGTCATCTCAAACGTTTGCCCGATAAATCCTATCTGGAATGTACAAAATATGATGAGTCTGTACTTGTAATTTATCATTCCATTCATATTTTTTGAATTCGCATATACCGGATGACTCAAAAAAAATAATGAATGCGTAAATTTATTTTATTAATTTACTCAGGAACAAAAAAACTGAATGCTTTGAAATCTACTGCGAAAAGAAAACATAATAGGCATGCAGTCGTCACGTTTCCAACAGCGAGGGAAGTACTGTCTAAACTCTTTAGACCAATTTTTTATTATTTGGAAATGTCTCACAGTTTTGTATTTGGACGCATAGGATTCTCCTCCCTCCTTTTCGTTTGGTTAATAACAATAAAGCTGCACTTCCTGTCAGTTTTTTTATATTTTTTTATGATATGTTATATATATTTATTTGTTTATTTTGCCTATGCTCTTTATAAGTTACGTTTGTTTAAAATTACCATACACATATGTACTAATAAATCTCAGTAAAAGATATAAAAAAAATTGTTGAGGTTGCAAACTAAACTGTGATAAAAGAGCCAGTATTTCGAACCCTAAACCAGATATCAGTAGGTCAGTATATATGTATCAATGTACCATAACATGGGGTGAAATTGATTTTGTGTGGTGACTTTAATAATATAACGGGATTTCTTAAAATGGTTTAAATTACGCGTCCAAATAATCTGTGAACATCGCCGTTGATTTCGTCGATTACATAAAACTGCAGTGGTTAGTGGGAAGCTGTGTGCCTACGGTAAGTTTAGCTAAGATTATTTTTACAAATTGTTTAAAGGGGACCTAGCTGTTTGTCACTTTACAATACTCTACAAAATCCTCTGCTCCTTATTTAGTTTCAAGCCGAAAACACATATTACGGAATAAATTGAATATTTTGAGATGTTGTAACCTCACAGATCAGTCTGGCAGACTTTTTATTCGTTGAATACTTGTAGAATTATTTGTGCTGTGGGGTCACTTTAATAAATAATTGAGGTGAAATTGATAAAGTTATCAATATCACCCCAACTTTATAAATTATAGTAGTAATTGTCCACAATTCAGTCTTTTCTGTTAAAATAATAAATATTTGATTTCTACAGACTAATTAATGCGAAGAGAATGGGAAGAGGACCTACAAGAGAAAAGTTGGTACTAGACTATTAAAATTACAAACCAGAGAAGATAGAAGAGGCGCTTGAAAAAGTGCATGAATATTAAGTGTTTCATTTGTTTTTGTTAATTTTAAAATAAAATGTATTTTTTCACTTTCAATAAAAAATTCTATAAAATTAATAACAAAGCAATTTTGTTGGGGTGACTTTGATATTATATGCTTCTTAGGTAGGTATCAAAGTTATTCAAATTGATAGCGGAAACTGCTTGGCGAGATTTACAATGGATGAAATTAATAACTTTATATGTATGTATGTAATACATACATACATACATTTTAAAAGTGGCTATCAAAGTCACCCCAATGTAAGTATAACTTTGACGACGATTTTTTTAACAAGTCCAGTGGCAACTTCTAAAATGGCACTGTTGTGTAACTTGTACGTCGGTACAAACTTTATCATTTGGCTAATTTTGTTTAAAGCAAATGACAATAAAAACTATACAAAAAGTAATAAAATGAAAAAAATCATCAATTTCACCCCATGTTACGGTATAATACACATGCATATGTAAAAATAGATATATTTACAAGGTTATTCAGCTAAACGGTACGCATATTTTAGGCAACCGAAATACAGTCTCCATTTAACTACTAGAGATGTGAAAAAATGGCTTACATATCATTGTAAGGGTCCCCAGTCGTCGCCCGCAAAATCGGTTCCAGTGAGAAGAATTATTTTTTGTAACTATGCAACCCAAAGTACGGACCCATCGCAGGTACCGACCCAAAAACACGAGAGATTATGGTCACTGTAGGGAGTCCGTCATAAAATGCAAATCGGTAAACAACACCAGATAAGCTTATTTATTTTCAAATGAAGGGTACAGGGAAATAACCATCGAAATCCATTTGTATGTATTTTGAAAGAAATTGAATTGAAAGTTTAAAATGCTGCGGAAAATAGATTGAGAAACCCACAAGGTTCAGTCTAACACAACTTTTTATTTTTTTTTATAATATTTTAAAAATATATAAAATAAACTGTTTATGTTCAAATATAACAGCAAAAAAAATTGGTGAAAGTTGTTTCGACAGAACTTCCCTCGCACCTAAAATATAATGAAACATATCCAGCATTTTCGAGTTAAATTTTTACTTTAGGTACACAATTTTGTGATGAAATCATCAACATTTTGCAAGGACACGTAAATCAATGTGGATTAGACTAAAAATAACAGTATTCCCAAAATTTTTGGGAACATGGAGTGAGTCGTTCTTAATTTAATCAATAGAATAAATTGACTCATTCATTAATTTTTTTGAGCCACCTAGGTATATAAGCAAATTTAAAAAATATGAATGCAATGATAAATTTAAAGTAAAAACTCATCATATTTTGCACATTTTTAGTAGCATTTATTCGGCAAAATTTTGAGATGACGTTATCAATTTTTTAGTAGCATAATCCTGAACTTGTGGTTTATAAATACAATATTGAGATTTTTCGGTTTTTCGATTTTTCTACTTTTGATGTTTCAATTTTTCAGTATTATAATTTTTGACATTTTCAATTTTTCCATTCGTCAAATTTTCGATTTCTCCATTTTTTTATTTTTCGATTTCTCAATTGTCCGTTATTTCAATGATACGATTTCGCAATTTTTCAACTTTTCGATATTTTAATTTTTCAATTTTTAAAATTCTAGATTTTTCGATTAGTCGAGTTTTCAGTTCTTCTATGCATATTTCAGTTTTTCAGTTTTCGGAATTCATTAAATTTCCGATTTTCCATTTTTTTAAATTTTCCGATTTTCCAGTTTTTCGATGTTTCCATTTTTCAATTGTTCAATTTCTCGATTTCTAAATTTTAGATTTTCTAATTTTAATTTTTTTTTATTTTTTCATGTTTGGACTATTTATTATTGCTAAAAATAAAAGTAAAAAATAACTACCAAAATTGTGACGAAAAATATGTAAAAATTAATAGAAAATAGAACACATTGCTGCTAAAACATAAAAATAAATGTACTTTCCCAAAAAAAATTATTGCATGATTACTGTTCCACTAGTATTGCTAATTTACGACGTTAGTATCAAACGCAATGAAAGTATTAATTCTTAGTTAAACAAAAAATAGTTGCATGTCAAAAGCGAGTGAAACATGTGAGATGTGTGTAAACAAAAGCGTCTAAATAATAACTATTTCCCGCAGAATTGCTGGAGGCTTAAAGAGTCGACATTGGCCTGAGCGCGCTCCGGTCTGTGGATCATACAAGTTCTCGGGCGACGATGTATCTAACGAGGCAGTTGAAATACTTGACATGTCACAGCGCAAAAAGTATTTCTCCAAAAACTTTCAAACGTTGATGTCTTTTTAATCGAACAAAACACAATTGGCGAACGCAATAATCCAGAATGGTGCGCAGATTCTGGATTGGATTCTAGATTCTTAATTATGGGGGCTGACCATAGCCAGCTGGCACTTAGGCCTCGCCTTGGGCCCATTGTACCTTCCCCAAGTCCATATCAGGGTGTTTTCCCGCTCCTCTACTCGTCAATGGTGCGCAGAAAAATCCTTTAGACTAACGGAACGTTAATTTGGTAAAATTTGCAAAATGAGAGAACAAGTAACACGGCTAATCCTACTGTACTGTGAAAAACATTTTACATCCCTGCAAATCTAGTTCAGCATGTACTCTCCCAAAATCTTTGCATAGAAAATGAAGCAAGAGCAACTGAAGCATTTTGCAGTAACACCAAACTGACAATAAGACAATGCGGTTTGTTCATTTTTAGCGGCATCGCCAGACGGCTTAGTAAACAAAAACGCTATCGTAGAAATATATAAAATGCCCGATTTAAATAATACTTAATTCAACGAGATGATAAATTTTGGGAAAAATTTTATTTATATGCCTTACTTCCGGAGAGAGTAGATTCTCGTTATTATTATTATTATTATTATTATTATTATTATTATTGGTCATAATTGAGTAGAGCTCTAATGAGCTATAATACTCTCTAGAAATATTCGCATCAAATTATTGCCACATATAAAATTTGTCCAATCGGTTTTTGAATATATTTGTATTTTCAGATTCAATAATATCAGTAGATAGTTTATTCCAATCATTAATTACCCTTATAGAAAGAAAACTTCTTCTGATATTCGTTTTACATTTTGGTGTTGATATGTGTAATCGGTGTCCTCTTAATCGTTCAACAAGTCAACCCATTAGACAAATTGTAAAGAAAAAATTGTAGAATTTTTTATTTGCATTCGCGTCATGTGTCGTTCATATAAATCTTTTGCCCTTCTAGTATAAACATACACAGGAATAAATAGTAATATTGGAATAGGTTTACTGGAGATACCACGTAAAAAACGTGCCTATAATACTCTACCTCATAGGTGGTGCGGAAAAGTGTATCAAAAAATTAAATTTAAATAAATATGATTGTTCAGGTAAATAAGTGGTTAGTGAAGTGATGAGAATCTAAGTCTTGTCAGTTTTGTGTATTGATTAAATAATATATAAAATGACAGATTAATACAGAATATTTGAATAATTTTTTGAAAGAAAATATTTTAGAAGAATGTATAAAATTATAAAAATTTGCATACTTTTAAATCAAATTATGTCAGCAATGAAAGAAGTCAACTTGTAAAAGAGTTTCAACAATGTTGGTCAGCTAAGAGTATTTATGAGTTTTATGACTTAAAGTACCTGAATTGATTACCTGAAAGGGTCGGTCGGCAAGGCTCCATGCTGTGTAAAACTCAGCTATTTATTGAAACGTATCTTTGTAAATAGGGTTGCCTAGTTTCACTTTATTTTCATTATTCAGTATTTATTTAAAAAGCAAACATTTTGATAAATATAAATTTTAAACAAAAATGACCGGGTCTTCCCCATAGAGCTCAATGTTGTCTTTGCACTGATATAAAAGTTGAAGCGAAAAATGCTCTCTCCTCGTCTAAAAATGCACTTTCCTTCGAAGAATGAACGATTAATTAAACACTAAACAATCACTTATTTTTAAAAATATTGTGTCTTTCCCACAGATTTAGACATAATGTATCAATTGAAATGTCGATCTTTTTTTCAAAGTTGAAATTACGCCCGTATAATGAAATTCTATTTAGCTCATTTTTCGGTCAGCTACTGTGCACCCTTAATGTCATGGTGACTGTATTTTGGGTTGCCTGAAACATTCGGCCAGTTAGCTGTATAACCCTGTATATATAAACAAAGTATAAAAATGGGTATTAAAAATATATATTAAGTTATTGCTGAAACATCCTTGACCCCTAAAAAGATGTTTTATGCAAGATGTTTCAAAAACAAGCGGAGGACATTTTTGATTGCCGGGATGTTCCGGAAATGTGTCCGAGGTCTGTGAGAAATGTTTCATGTTTGTGAATTATTGTTTCAGACACATAAAAAGGTTTACGACGATGAATACCATTAATAGAACACAAAACTGGAAATCATCAGGACCAGACAAAATACATAATTTCTAGATCAAAAAATTCGATTCTGTACACACTTATGTACTAAAACACTTAAACCAGTTCCTTCTTACTCCATCCACATTTCCAATATTTTTATGTCATGGTGTAAATATATCTAAAACCTAAAGATGATGACACAACAAATCCATCAAAATACAGAACTATCACGTTTGCCTACAATTTACAAAATACTAACCTCATGCATAGCGCAAAAAATGTATCAACACTGTTTTAAATCCGACATCAACAATGAAGAACAAAAATGATGTATATCGAAGGATCCTGTGGTTGCAAAGAGCAATTAATCATAGATTCCATCATCTGTGAACAAGCTAGGAAAGAAAACAGAAACCTATATATTTCTTTTATTGATTATAAGAAAGCTTATGATTCAGTCCCGCATTCGTGGCTATGCAAAGTTCTGGAATTATACAAAGTTAATCCTAAAATATGTGCTCCTTTCAAATATACAATGGAATTTTTGAAAAAAAACACCCTTCAAATAACCTTAAATGATCAAATAATTCAATCAGATTCAATAATAATCAGAAGAGCAATCTTTCAAGGCGATTCCCTCAGTCCGCTATGATTCTGTTTGGCAGTAAATCCTCTTTCCGACATCTTGAACAGCTGCAATTATGGTTTCAATATAAGAATTAATACCAAAACAGAAAGTAGATTAAGTCACTTGCTGTATTTGAATAATATAAAAATATATGCAAGTACGAAAAATCGATTACAAATCTAATGAATCTAACAAAAGTTTTTCGGTGACATTGGCATGAGAGCTTCGGTGTTGAAAAATGTACGACTCAAGCAATCAGAAAAGGCGTTCAAAAACAAATAGCAGATTAACCTAGAATAATGAAATAATCGAAGCCCAAGAACGAAACGAAACAGAAAAATATCTGGGCTTTCATCAGTCTTTCCATATTGATCATACCAAACAATGCCAAAACTAAAACAAAGCTCGAAACACAACATTCTGGCAAGAGTAAAATTAGTTTTGAAGACGCAGTTAAACGGAAAGAATTTAATGAAAGCAGTAAATATATTGTGTTCCACCGCTAACATATTCTTTTGAATAATTAAATAGTCAACAACTAGTATGAAAAGTTAAAATATCTCAGAAGGCATCATCCGAAATCATCAGTTGAGAGATTTTCATTACCAAGACAGCGCGGAGGAAGGGGATTCCAGGACTTAGAATTGAAGAAATATTTCCTGAGACGCGCAGAAAGAAATTCACTATTTTGCACCACAACAAGGACAGACTTGAACCACACACTATTAAATCTATCCAATACCTACCGAAGAAATCGTCACACCACACAAACTAGACAACATAATAAGTGGGCTGAAACAAAAACAACTACATGGAAAATTCTTCAAGAGCTTCAAAGAGCTAGACGAAACTCACATCAACAAGAAAATGTCATTGATTGTTTATATGCCGAAACAGAAGGGTTTTCGTTTGCTATTCATGACCAGGTAATTAATAGCAAGAATTATTATTAACGATTGTTGTCGATTTTGTAAAGAAAAACCCGAAACGATTCAGCACATAACTTCATCCTGCCTCAAACTGACTACAAAGCTAGACACGACAACGCAGTCAAAATCATTCACAAAGACTTAGCAAAAAATCTAAACTTAATCCAAGACACGACACCCTATTACACCTCTATCTTTATTTAGTAGTTACATGTTGTCCTCCAAGACCTTTAAGAAGTAGTGCCTTATTTTGGTGCAAACTTCACAATACCAACTACGGATTTTTCTCTCCAATTTCAAGATTAGCATGTGAAGCAAACTTCTATAGAAGATTGATACATGCTAATTTTTAATTTTTGAATTTGTATTAAGTTAGGATAAGATTAGTGATGAAGTGGTTCAGAATTGTATGATTAATGTTGTTTTAGTACTAGTTTAGCAGTATAACTGATTAGGTTGCTGAAGTTTTTTGGGTAAATCCCATAATAAAGTATTATTATTATTAATATTATTACATTCCATCTCCATTCCTTATTGAAAACACTGAATACAAGCTATACTAGGATCGCACAATACTTGCAGACAGAATCATACAGCCAACAGACCAGATATCATACTTATAAACACACCAATGAAACCACTCTCATTGACATTGCTGTTCCAAACACGCACAACATAATAAAAACATACCACACTAAAATTTCAAAATATCTACAATTATCAAGGGAAATGAAGGCAATGCTAAATCTTGAAAAAATTTCAATTCTACCTTTAGGTATGTAGATGTAGTAGGTACCAAATAGTTTGGTTGAGAATTTGAAATAGTTAAACTTAAATGATTTAATAACTCTCGAAATGCAAAAATCTGTTTTGTTAAGACATTTCATATTGTTTGTAAGTTTTTCGAACCGTCTTGATCCTGTTATGCAGAATAGGTTTATCCCTCTGTTTTGAGGCGATGAATTCATTGAAATCCAACAAATTTCTACCTGATATCTTACGATGTATAAACAAGCACTTGAAGTTAAAGCTTCTTATTACTGCTGAGATGCCGTTTTTCTAGTTCTATTATACATTGTCCGTTCGTGTGCAATTTGCGCCCCCCCACTGCGCAGAAATTGCCAGGGTGTTATTTATGTCGCTAATTTTTCCGTTACATAGGATAGAGGTCATCACAAAATATCACAAATCTAATTTTATAATTTTTCAAAACGGGATGTGTTAAACTTGTACCTCAAGAACGATGAGAGTTCTGTCGAAATAAACTTCGATCAATTTTTTAGTATTACTTATACAGGTGACAAATAAATTCACGAATGAAGAAACTTATTTAATTTGTCAAATAAAAAACGGTGCACCCTATTTTCCAGAAAATTTGACTATATAGTTAATATCATTGCATGGCATATTCAAATTAGTAAGTGTCCTTGCTAAAATATTGATGACGTCATCACAAAATTTTATAGTAAAATTCATTTGTAACATACGCACAACATGCTTCGTCACTTGTGCTCTACCAGTCCACACATACCTACATTTTAACTTACAGTGGTTACAATGTAAAATAAAATTCGCAAAATTTAATTTTATAATTTTTCGAAGAATTTGTATTTGTTGGCCTGTGTTTTGTAAATAACTTTAGAATAATGGCTCGAAAAACAGGGTAAAATTATTTTCTTTTTTAATAGAAGCCGTTCAAGTAGGTAAATCGTTAAAACTTTAACCTTTTTAATAAAGCCGTAAAAAAGTTAAAATTTTGATTTGTTGTCAATAGACCCATGTAGCAGTATCATATATTAAAAATGTTTCCACGAGTATTTCTATACTTCGTATTTTGACAGCTAGTCTACACTAACAATATAACTGTAACATTTGGAGTAGCTTATTAGCTGCAATACATGGACAAATATATGGAAAAAAATCACAATATAAAGGTCTAGTAAATCAATCAGGCACGGGTTGTCACAATTTCAGGTTCATCATCGGTTTCTTTTTTATTATCGGGATCTTCCTGTGGATCCCAGGGCTGCCGTTCACCAGAGCCAAACAGAACATAGAAAGTGCAGCAAGCTGCGTACACACCAGCAGCTGTTATGAATACAATGCGCCACTTAGCTTGACTTGGCTGAAATAACAATCAGGATTATTTTACAAAAAACATGTGAAACAACTTAATGTCTGGTACTTACCGTTCCCACAACTACGTTTCCAGCGTAGATTGGGGCTAACAATCCAGCTAAATTAGCTAAACAGTTTGTAAAAGCCATAAGAATTCCTGCGAATTGAGGAGAAATATCCAAATGATTGACTTTAAATCCGGAATATATCCCACCATTTAAACCTACTCCAATAGTAAGTATTGCTACTGTCAACCACCGATCACAACCAGTAAAAGATGCTGCTACTAGTGCTATTGCGGGACCATACTGACCTGAAAGAGACATGTGTCAATACAGGTTATCTACAATTCTGACTTAATTGTACCAATTCCATTTATTAGTTTTCGCACAATGGTGTGTGTAAAGTATGGTTTAGTTAATAGCCAGTCAGCAACATGACTTATAAATATAGAAAACAGCCACATAGCTAAATATGGTAACGCTGAGAGAAAACCATTCTGTAACACAGAAATTAATTAATTAATACATATATACAATGGTTAGAATTATATCATACATCTTTAATACTGAAATGTAACACTTGCTTCATGTAAGTCGGCAATTCCGTCATTAGTGTTTCATAACCATAATTATGACCCATATGTGCCAACAAAATAGCCCAGAATGGTAAAGATTTTGCAATAGACTTCCATGGAATCGGTGGGGTCTAAAAACACATTGTGGGTAATCTATATTTAACATTAACATAAATTATTTACAGGAGCACCCAATCTCTTTCCTAGAGATTTTTGGATGTACTTTTTCTCATCTATATTCATTCGTGGATTGGCTTCAGGATCTTCATAGACAAGAAACAAAAAGGCAATGCACCATACAGTCCCCACAGCTCCAAAAACATAAAATATGGAAGGCCAACCAACTGAGGATGCAGATAGTAAACCACTTAACGGCATAGATATCACCGTTCCAAATTGTGCTCCTATAAATAAAATAAATTACGTTAAATTAAATTAAGTGCAGTATTCAGCCAGTGCACTCCTCCCGTTCTTTCCCTAAGCATAACAATTACATACAAATTCGAACAACACATCTGTATAATACATAGTACATGTTGTTTCTGATGCTTTCTTTAAGATGCGACGGTAAACATCGCTGCATAAATATTGGTTATTAGTACAACATATTTAATATAAATATAATATAATGCTGTTTGAGAGAGAAAAAATCCACTCTGCATCACACTTTACGCTTAACAACACACAATACAAAAGGAATACTTATACCTGTGAAAATAAAATCTCGTAGGTAACTGATTTTGTAAAACGCCCTGAGATTAATAGAATAAAAAAATTGGGTTAATTGTTATTAGCCAAAATGGAGATGATTGCAGTGTTGAAAAAGTTGTAATTATGTACTAGTTTTTCCAAGGGGGCTTTCATTGTATAAATTTATGTTATCTTCAATAACTGGCGTAAATTGAAGAGTCTATATTATATTTCTGCTGTTATTTCTGTTGCTTTCATGTAGACAAGCAACGCATTTTATGCGTTTTTGAGCGGTATTATCGATTTGTTACAAGAACTCGCACTTTTTGAAGTCGTTAATATACACTTAATATACCTAACTTGATTTTTACTTACAAAATTTTGTTTTATTTTTAATCTTTCTTAAAACTTCCTTTATGTTTTTAAATTACACTTTTCTGTTACTTTTCATTTACGTACTGTATATTTCAGAGTGTATTTGAAGTATTAAGTAAGTATTGTAAGTTTGGTATAACCCAATTAAAACTCTTAATTCTAACAAAGATTAAGTAAAAAAAACATCGTTCAAACCTACACGAAACGTATTTTGCTAACTTTCCACAAACGAACATTTTCACGAAATTACTTCTTGGATTTCGGAAATGTGAAGGACAACTTCGGGATAGTGGGCACAGTGAATTAGAACTCTATGTGCATATGCAATTTCGCTCTGTAGGTATTGTCTATTAATATATAAATCGATGCAGATTATGTGAAAGTAACGTTAATTTTAAGTTACACGTAATTGGATCATCGGAGTATACGGGGACTACCTTCGCAATATTAGATAATACTGACAATTATTAATCGATCAAATAAGTATGATATCGACAAAAATACATGATGGAGGACGATGTACATAAACATTAAGATATATCAGTGAAAACAGTTAGGGTTGTAAGGGATGGCCAACTGTGGACTAGCTTTAGAATGTGCTTCGTGGGAGGTGTAAGACAAAGACATAAGTGCCACTCTAGTACGAGGGGCGTTAACAAATTAATAAATGTTTTTGCCGTTAGACGTTTCAAAATGACATTAGCACTCGGTTTTCAGGCTTTAAATATATATTTTTTTGTCAATAGAAAGAATATTTGTAAAATAATTGGTTTTTAGTGGAAGAATTTCCGCTGTCATAAGCTATCTCAAAAGAAATAAATTATACCTAGTAACCTTGCTGACATTTCATAAACGACACAGATATAATTATAACAGCGTTTATCTTCATATTTTTAATTATGTTAATTATTATATATATTGACGAATTTCCCGAATTGCCTTGAAACTTTGTTTCACTTTGTCTAAATGCAAGTCAAAATAAGATCTGCATAGTCAGAGTTGTTATTTCATTTGTCAATTCTTCAGTGACATTAAAACTACAGAAATATCGCAGTAATTACCATCCTTGCAAACTAGTTTTTGACTGACTTGACCGTGGTGTGGAACTTAACCTAACAAATTGAAAACTGTATAGGTAGGCCACGGCCTGGGAAGCATGGAACAATACCGAAATAATTTCTGCAATGTTTCTGTTCTCTTAAAATTAAATCAGCATAATGTTTACTAATCTTTTTGATCACTTGGTGCTCTATAACGTCAAAACGTTTATTCCCCAGAACATCGAAACGAAACGGGTTCATAAACGAGTATGTTTTCATATTTAATTATTTCTCGATTGAATTTCTCCGCTGCATCTTTGACTCCATTCATTGTAAACGTCGATAACATCGGGATAGTAAGTACAATATATGTCAAAATAGCAATGAGATTTACAGTTAATACTTAAAACTTCACTACTACATTATTATACATATTTCATAAGGCGGCTGCATTGAGGGGTGGCCAAATAGAATGAGTGCCACAAGTGGTCTTATGAAAAGAGTGTGATATACTGTTTTTTTTCTACTTTGCATTGTAAATAAATTTTAAAAATATATTTTAAAAAATATCTTCGATTGGGAATTTTTGACAGTTGGTTGGTAATTCATTCAAATATTCAATTTAGCTAGTTTTATTAATAATGTTCACTGACATTTGGTTTTAACTTTCGACTACCTTTCGACTGCCCGCATAATAACATTGCCAACTTAATCACGGAAAAGACTACTATTTTGCGTGCTTTAATAAAAATAATTGCCCTTATTGACACAAAGTAGAAAAAATAAATTTTGACTCCCTGAAAAGACGTTAGCCACCATTCAAGATTAGTTGTCATTCAAGTAACAGCAGTGGTAATTGCACAATTTTTTAATGATGCAGATTTGAACGTGCACCAAGTGGAATCAAGCTCGTGGCGAGCAGATTAGCGATGAAATTTTTTATTTTTGAACTTATTACATTGTTTATTTAAATAAAGTTTTGTTTATGGAAAGGTCTAATAGCAGCGAGTTTCAGTAAAAATTACACAAATCAAAACATTGACTAGTGTCGGAATGTGCCCAAGGTCGTGCATCAGCCTTCAGATTCTCACACATTAAGAACTTATACAGCAGAAAAACAACTTGCACTTCACTGTTCTGGACGATTCATTTTTTTTACTTTTTTTTTTAATTAAAAACTATACCTAATAATTATTCTCGAATTTTTTTTAAGTTTGAATGCTAGATTTTGTGGGAGAACTATGCTGACAAATATCCAGATCTGGAGAAATTACTATTTAATAGCCTAAAGTAATAAGACGTTAACAATTGTTTTTCTTTTTAATATGTTTTTGATACTTTATAATGTTGAAATGCTGGTTGAAAATTATGAGAGTATCTCCTAGGGAGAAGACTGTAGGGCAAAAATAAGCAGAATTGATGAAATATAACAAAAAAGAAGTACACAAGGAAATTACCATCAGAAATATTATATGTAGTTCATAATGAAACGGAATAAAGTGACCGGGTAACTAGCGCTGAGTTTTTCCTATAGTGTTTTTAAAATTTACACTTATAACCGCGAATAAACCCTAATTTGAAGTTTTTTGTGAATATATTATAAATTATAGTTTAATTATTATTAATCTCAAAAAGAAAACATACAATTTAAACTTTTTCTGTACTTAAAATAGATCTGCAAATATTCTTAAATAATAATTTGTTACATAACTGACCCAGGCAATAAAAAATACGCATTTGGATCAATTTTAAAAGAATTTGAACAAGAAAAATCAAAAACCGATTAGTAGAAGGGGCCCTTAAAAATAAAACTTATTAATGAGCGAAATTAACAACAGTAACATGTTGTGACTTACATGTTAAACCATTTTATGTACAAGGCTTCGTTTGATTAGATACAATTCTTAATTATTTCAAAAATTAAAGCAAATATTTTCCATTTTTTACACGCCGTCGGCATGTGCTTGGTTCTATTTAGTCAATGGGCTCACCTTTTTTAACTTTAGTTTCTCTTGTTTTTATTTTAGCATTCTCACTTTTACGTGTAATTTGCGGAAGCGTAGAATTAATGACCCAACGGCAATTTTATTTAAAATGTTGAAAAAAAAAAAATCTTCGAGATGTAATACGTAAAAGCCCAGATTTTTGCTGAAAATGGCTTGTACTTTTGCTTTAAAGTTTGACACCCCGTTCATCTAATAATAGATTTAGTTAAGGATTAGTAGTGGTACTTCGCGTTCGCTTTGGTCGCACGCATGTGGGGACTAGTGGTGAAACCCAATAACTTACTTTCACCTAATTCTAGTTTTAACATATCTACATGGTGAACTGATTTTGGTACATAGGATTTATACATCTTGGCATTGAACAAATTTTGATACATAGAGATTTTTACTCATGGCAAAGGTTAAGAATAATTTCGTCGGGAAATAATTATTTTCCAGTAAACTTCTAAGCACCAAGTTGTAGAGAAACAAACGACGCTTTTAGTATTATTTCTCGTTATTTTCTTGATTCCTCGTTAAGTTCTTAAATATTGACAGAATATAACTCTACAAAGTCATCAATAATTTGAAGTGAATTTAATTGTCCGTTAAATTTTACAAAATTTTATTTTAATTGAACATTATACAACAGAAGGTAACATTGCCACGTACAATTTAAATTTATACTATGGTACAATTTTTCACGTTACCCTGACTGTGAAAGTTTAAGTTGAAAATTCAACAATCAAAGACACATTTTCAAAAATCTATAGCTTTCTTTCAACGTGTATTTTATTGCTTTCTTGGTATAATAAGTAACAATAATTTAAAATTAAACTCACGATGGTTTTAAAGATGTATTTTTTGCATATTTAAGAAATAAATGAAAATAAACACAGCGGTTTTAAAAGTGCTTTTTGATTCTACACAACTTTTTCATTTAGAAGTTTGTTGTAAGAATAATAAGTGCGAAAATACTCCGGTTCAAATGAATTTAGCAGTAAAAACCCTTGTATCAAAATCAAGTCACTATTCAATTTATTTCTATATTTAATGTAGTGTAAGCACAACTTGGACACATCCTGCATCAGTTAATAACTACTGTCATTACAAATTACTCGGATTTGAGTTAAATTTGCAAGAGGCTGACTATATACAGGAATTTGGATAAAGAATTTGCATGTATAGAGGAATACATTTTTTTAAACCCAATAAAGAAGAAATGAGTGTTTAGAAACAACAGGACTTGTTTGAAAAGCTGTAAATCAGATTTAGAGAAAAACTTTTAGATGAAACGTCTATATACCTGGGCACCCTATACTCCAATGTTTAAGGAAGTTGATTAATTTGACAATATGATGAATAATGACTATGCTCACACAAAACTTGAATTTTACCAAACTGATACTACTGCTAATTCAGATTCAAACAACATACCGTCTTGTACTTTATGCCATAAAATCATACGTTACACTGTCTCGTGTTCAGAACTGCAGAAAAATATACCTGCATAAACGAAAGCACCCATTCGACTTCTCTCGTTAGGAGGGATCCATTTTGCCAGGAGAGCGTGTGTGCATGGGACAATAGGGCCCTGACCAGAAACGATAGTTGAAAACCTATACAAGGTACGAAAGTGAGAGGAAAACACCATTTTTGTTTCAATGACTCAAAAACCAAACGAAATAATAATTAAAAAAAACAACAAAAATGTGTTGTCTCACTTTGTACTTGTGACAATTCTCTACTCACCTCGCCAAGACCTTGAATGAATCTCACGGTTATTAACCACCAGATACCCATATCGGCTGATACGGGGACTAACAATCCAAATAGAGAATTGATCAGCATTCCAATTCCAAGGAAATAAATGTTTCCATATCGTTTTGACAGGATCCCAAATGGAATTTGTGTTATAACGTAGCCATAGAAGAAGGAACTCAAAATGTAGCCTTGCAGATCAGTTTCCCAAATAAAATTCCCATCGCTTTCTGAATGAGAGGAGTTGTCCTAAAAATTCATGAAAAATCATTTTTTGATAGGGTAATGTTTTTTTCCGTTTAATTTACAGATACTTCAATTACAAAACATTGAACTAAATGTTATGCTTTTAAAAGAATTTCACATGAAACATACGTCTATTCACTTTAAACATTAGTAACGTAAACTCATTTTATTGATTCTTTATCTCTTGGTAGCCCTTTAAAGTATACTTGAAGAGTACCAAGGACCAAAAGTTGTACATAATGTATTTATTCGCTTACAAAGTTTGTCTCGTAGATCAAAATACATAGTTACATTGTTTTCAATTGGAGGGTGAATAGTTTATTTATATTGATTAAAAATCTAGAAGGAAAGTAATGTTCTAGGATGTACATGTTTAATAATACCTTTTTTATTGTATATTTATTTTATTATGTTGCCAACTTACCAATATTACTTCTCCGCATTCCGTGTCCACATCAATGCTGTCATTGTGACTAGATCCAGAAATTTCAATTGCTGTGTGATTTACCATAGCGACAATGGCCACCGACATATTGGTTCTCATCACGTAGGCGTTTGCCATTCCAAGGAAAAGCATAAATGTCACGAAGTGTCTTGTGCCGAACCATCCTAAAATGTACATACAAACTTATGTAGACATCTCTGTGTTTGTGTTTACATGACGTTGAATTTCTTTTAGTTTAATTTCGTTTATTTCGATACGTTTTAAACACTTGTTCTGTTCGTCTTCAGGGTTAGATTCTATTATTAAGTGTGCTAGTATCTTAGCGGTTGTATGAATGAAATTATTAATTGACTAAATGAATGAAATTAAAATAATGTTTTAAAATACAACGTCTTAAAATGTACATAATTATTAAATGCAAGAGATCCTAGTTTTCTTCAAAATCACATTTAATGCAAGGATGTTTTTATTTTTGGCATATCGCATGTAATGATGAGAAGAAAAAATCGTACCCAGCCAAAACACATGACCTTAAGGAGTTCATGGACTCTTATATAAAAATAATAAAATTTATTTCGATTGTCTGAAATGTGTTATTTTACTTATAATGGGTCGCATCCTAGACCTCATTCTAGATTTACAAAAACAACGTCGAACTTGAAAAGTTTTAACGAAAGAGCACACATATATATTTAATATATATTTGAAAATGTATGTTGTGAGGCAATTAGTGGTTTCCATGTTTTCTAATGTATGTATATTATAATACAAAAGAAGTAAAATGAAATTACAAATACTAAAACAAAACTATAGTAATAGTAAATGATATATTTTTTTAACATTTGGTTAAATCATTAACGTTATTCCACATTCTTTTGATTTTTTGTCGTGATGCTATTAAAATATAATAAAACAATTATAATTAAGATTTCAGTTATTTAAAGGCAAAATTTATCCGTCACGAATATTGCTTTGGAATGGTATTTAGGATAATAAACAACTTTTTAACAATAAGTACTTTAAATCCAATGAACTATTTTGAGGTAAATCATTACTTCCACGTTCGGAACGTCATCAGATCACGCGTCAATCGAGTAAACACGTTTTTTATACAATGTATATCTAGCGTTATTACACTTAAGTTAAATGACTCATCAAAATTATTACTTATTACTTGCAGTTAAAATGAAATGACCTTTACACTGAGATCATTGATCAGTGCCGTAAAATGACGAAATCTACAAAATATCTTGTAAAACATGATATTGATAAAATTAATTAGATTTTATCATCTATAAAATGTATATAAAAACAGATCGATTGCTACTTATCACAAGGTAAAAATCTATTTTAATACAATGATAATTAGTGAAAATCAAAATTGTTTTTCTGGATCATTAGCGTAATTAGAATGTTTATGTAACCGAAACGGTGCTTCCAGTGATTCAAATTAAGGTTTGTAATAATCCGTTAAAGAAAGATATGTTCATGTATTACCAAGAAACACAACGTATATTTATAGCTAGATTTTTATTACAGTGTTAAAATTATTATTTTACTGAACTCTGAACCCTTAACGTCAATTAATGTTGTAAGTCGGCATTGAGTTCTGGAAAAACAGTTTTATTTGCAATATGAATATAAACATTAATTTAATGGTAAAATACATTTTTTGCATTGATTTTTCAGTAAATTTGTATCTGTCATAAAAAAATATTTCACATTATATCTATAAATTTATGGAAGACAATATTTCTTAAGAGTGTTGACTGGAAATGCATGTAACTCAAATTGTAAATAATATTAAATGCTTTATCTGAGACACGAGATAACACTGATGAGTGGCAATTTCGAGGTGAGTGTCGACATCCCACATGTAAAATTTAAAGTATAAATCGTTAAGAATTTTCCAAAAATGTTTGCTTTTTAATAAAGGAGAAATATTACAACGTCTTAAATTAAAATGGCTTCAAGGTTGTTTGTTTTTTTGCATTCTCATAAGTGTTACACAATTTGTACATGCGGTAGACTGCTGATTTTTATAACTGTACTAACTAATCACTGCCAACCTATAATATTTGAAAATAAGTTGAAGTTAAAGATAAGCGATAAACAATCTCTGAAACAAACAACGAAAATTTTCCAATGACGCATACTAAATACTTAGAACTTCAACGTATTCAAAAAGCGCGCCCATTTGCGCCAGGAAAAGTCTTGTTAAATTTAGCATGCGTGAAAGGACGAACGAATGAGTCAAACCAAATCGAAATGGAGGTAAGGTAGCACCTGCTGCACGTGGAGCACGTGGTTTCAAGTGTATTACAACAGGTAACAAAGTAAACCGAAATGCGTTATATATAACTACAAAAATTTACCTGACTTCTCCTTCACTTGGGTGCTGAGGTTTTCTTGGTCGAAAACAACTGTATACCTTGCGTTGTTATGGGTCCCGTTTGTCGCGTTAGTTTTCATTCTTGCGGCAATAAATTACGATCAGATTCAAAAGTAAAACTACTACTATATTGGAAAAATCACACGAAATTAACACACATTTTTACCAACGAAAATGAGAATGTTAGCGAATACATATAAATAAAACGAATTAGTTCAATGCAAAGTAGGCGCCAAAAATAAATGTTAACTTAAATGGCGAAAATGCACTACAATTATTAGTTGTTCACAACTTCAGTCGCTTCCGCTTTCGTGATGAAACGATTCGCAGTAAATCAAGAAATGGTTTAAAAATAAAAGTCATAATCAAACGTTCATAATAGTTTTCTGTTCTGCGAACTTTCAAACTTTTAGTAACCGAATGTAATTAAACGCACCACTTGGAAGACACCACTTTTTATTTTACGCGTCTCGATAGAATAGATGTTTGTGTATAACAATGTTAATAACCCGTCTTCGGTGCGACTTTTATCAGTTGTACACTACCGAAGAGGAAGGAGTCGGACCGGGCCGATAACTCGATAACAGTGCACACTTCTGAAAAAATCGGAATTTTAGTGGGGCTCAGCGCATGATCCAAATGACATGTTCAAAAAGGAGCGGGTGTTTCAATAAAAAACTGCTTATCAACGCGGTGTATTGTCTTTCTGGATTTAGCGGAATTTATTACACAATAGCCGTATGTATTTCACGACTTATCTGTGCTTTAGCATTAAATAAATGTGGGGATTTTATAATAATCTAAATCTTTTTTCAGAAAAATTTATACTCTACATACCGCGCTACTTTGGAGGTTTTTTATTTTCACAAGAACAAGAGTGACGAATACGCATAATGATGTAAACGAAAAACCTTATAGAAACTAAACCGTAAACTCAACTAACTAATTCAATTTGTGTTAACTGGCAACATATACAATTCTTAAGCAGTATATTTTAAGCATAAGGTTGAAGTATATTGTTTATACGTCAAAAGCAAACAACATAGTTTTGTACTGCGAATTCACAACGGACAACATTCCTATACATTGTTATTACACATCACTGTAAGAAGCACCAAGTGAAAAACCCAACTGGAATTCCAGTTGGAAATATATTGCACAAGTGTTACATCACATTATTAATTATATTATTATTGTTATAACCTAGAAAAAAAATTCTCATTTTGATAGAACCATCCCGTATTTACGAAAAACCTAGTACAGGAATTCAGCACAGTTTACTATAAAATATTTATTATTCTGATAGATTTCTTGAAAAGTCTTTATATATGAAAATTTGATTATACATTATAACCTTTGTTTGATTAACTAATTTTATTATTTATTTATTTATTTAATTGATAATAGGTACACTCGAGAAGCTGTAATCGAAAACACAGGCTGGCAGTTTAAAATTTTGTACTGATGATTTTTTATTTAGGGTGTGGAAAATTCCTCGTAAAAGAAGTATATAATCAACAAAAAAAATTCCTCAATCTGTCTGTCTAGTCCCTTACTATGTGTAACAGACGACGAGAATGGCAGCCTGCTCGTCAGCGACAACTTGAGAACATATTTGATGATTCTGTCACATAAGCATTAAATAGTATATTAGAATACAAGTGTATAACCAAGCCTTTAAAACACGCACGACGAGTTTAAGACAACGACGCGTTAGTGCTTTAAAGGCGTTTATACCCAAGTATTATACGCTATTTTTTATTATACCTGCACTACAATGTGAAAATTAGAATGAAAATTATAAAATTTGTAATGACTAGAGCTGTGCGGTTGAAATTTATTTACCCCCACTATCGGCCCACAGTGCCGATCGCTACACAGCCTTGCCTTGCTTGCTTCTCGCTTTTCAGTTGTGGATTATTTTTGATAATTCACACAAATAGTTTTATTGTCAGCGAGACGGACACCTGAACATTATTAAAATTATGATTACTCTTATTTCGTGAATATGGATTTTAAAATCATCAACTGACATGCCGTTAACATTATTTTTCGCGTAATTTTCTTCGCGATACATAACGTCGGATGCAAGCCTCTGGCCTGCCGGAGTGGGGGTCAATTCGCAGCGTTTAAATTTCAACCGCACAGCTCTAGCTAATGACCAAAGGTTGTATGTGATTCTGAAATCCAATCGTTTCCGTAGAATTAGTTATAGGTTATGGCAATTGTTTGTTTACGTTGTTATGTTTGAGCAAAAAAATCAAGCAAAAACGTTCCTGAATTGGTACAAAATGAACTACAATATTAAAAAATTGGCAGAACAAGCAGAATTACGATTAATTCCTGAGAAATCCAAAGTTGCGTACCTACTATAAAGAATACGACAGATTCGTGAAATGAGCGGCAAATAGTGGAATGAGCGTGGATGAACTGAAACGTCAAGTAAGCTGGAAATCTTCGAGCGTGGCTAGTAGCTACATTGAAGAATCCACTTCAAACAAAATAGTTGTTTCCAAACGCATTGCTGGTGTTCTTAACACATCTGTTGCTGAATCAACTTCATCAACACCTATGGACTTTCAACCAAACAGTGAAAATGCAGAAATTACTACTAGTTTTCAATTAACAACTAGTAATCAACTTAAAACGGCGGGGTTTCAAGTTTCAAACAATAATTGTAATTTTTAAATTTATTTAAATAAAAAATAGTACGTACTCTCTTATGGATAATATTTATTGTTACCTAGACGACTTTAAAACACTAGTGCTTCAAAGGCCCGATTGTGCACGCATCTGTGTGTTTTAATCAAGGATTATGATGCAGGTATAAAAAAAAATAATATTTTGGGACGCATTAGTCATATTTAAGTTGCGACTAAAACAGCAAGATATATAAAAACACTGAGGCGACAAAGTTTAAGCATATGGCTTCTAGACCAAGGAAGAAAAACTATGTTATAAAATCGATGGCTTTCTTAAGTGATTCAGTGTTTATAGCGGATTTAAAAAAAATTGGTCGAAGGATGTTTCTATGTTCCTCGTTCCTGAAGTACAATGAAACATATCCAGCATTTTCGGAAAATCATAACATTTGATTTTGCGAATTTTATTTTTTATGAAAACCCTTATAAGTTGAAATAAACATATGTAAGCAATGTCAAAGTAAACATAAAAAAGCGGGCTATGCGTATGTATCAAATGAGTTTTTAATTTACAAAATTATGTGATGCGTCATCAACATTTTGGACAGATATATATCAATTTGGATGGGTGCAGTGTAATACTAATAATAAGAGTACTGTTGTCCCTAATTTTTGGGAAAATGGAATGAACCCTTCCTGACTTAATCAATAAAATAAATTGACACACTCATTAATTTTTTTGAGCCATCTGTATAAACAAATCTAAAAAATATGAATACAATGATCAATCACAACTAAAAACTCATCATATTTTGCACATTTTAGGTAGGATTTATTAGGCAAAATTTTTAGATGACGTCATCAATTTTTTGTATACTGCTTACTTTTCCTTTTTACTATTTGATTAAAAATTTATCATACTTACAATAACTTCAAAACGTCTGCAAGATCGCAAAGTATTCGGTTTTGCAGATTCAAAATTAAATTGCAAAATTACAATTTTTTTTTTTCGAAAAATCTGGATGTCTCGAGTAAAAACTCAACACAGATTTATAAAGTACACGTATCTGACTATGTTATTTTATACAATTTAAAACCAATTTACTATGCACAACGAGAGTAGTTAAGAGTGCACTTCAAAATGTCACAAAAGTTCTTCAATAACTATTAAAAACTCTAGAAGGTCCGATATTTGAAGAAACATCGTATGAGTTTTAGACGCATTACCTTGGAAACGCACGCCAGCATGGCACTTATTGTGTTGTCTAGTTCTGTCATTTAGATTTTTCGATTTCTCGTTTTCGATGCTTGAAGTGAGTGTGGCGCAAGCTATATTACTGAGGAAGCAGCAATTGTAAGTGGAAATTTGCCTGAATCAACTTTGGCTGTCATTTCAACTTATAATAGTTTAAAATAGCACGAGTAGGGGTGTAAAATTTTTACAGGGTATATCCAGTTAAGTGATATTTTCATGTTGAATACAGTGACTTGATAAATTGATGTTTACAAGTGAGGAACAAATAAAATCTATTTCTTATTTTTATAGAACTGTTTTGTTTCTTAAGTTTTTAATACTTGGTAGCCACCTACCTGATTATTTTTGAGAAAAATTGTATTACATATTTTAGTTTACCTAGAAGAATTTTGAATTTAACGTAATTTAATTGTGATTTTAATATAGTTACAGGAAGGTACTACGTGGTTTTTTTGTAGAAGAGTTTATAGATTATAAAAAGTTTGTTATTATGGGTAAAAAGTATTCATGTCTTTAATGTCTAATATTAATTTTTTGTGTAGGATCCAGTAACCGAAGAATAAATAAATATTTTTTAGTGCAGTAATTCTTAATTCTACTGCAAAAAAAATGCCTACCTTTTTTTAAGATTGTTTTATTTTACACATTGCCGATGGACCACCAGGTACTCTATACAATCCCTAGGAGTTGTATACATTACCTAGGCCAAGTATGTAATGGACAATCATATTCCTAATATTTCATACATTGCCTAGACGCCCCCGGTATTCTACACATTGCTTGGTATTGTACAGAATACCTAAATAATATAATTAATTAATTAATTAATTAATTAATAAAAGGTGTGTGCTTAATTAATTAAAGTCAAATAGAAACATTTTGTTGCACAATTTTGAGATTTTTAGGAAAACTTATGTTAGTTGTACCTACATACACCTATAAATTTAGAAATAGAGGTAGGCTAATAATTCATACCTACAGATGTACATACATTATTTAGCAAAATATTTGTGCATATGAACAGGCGCATTCTGGTTAGCGATTTACCATGAGCAACATATTGTTGAAATACGTTTACCCTGTCAAAAAAGGTAGATGTTTGTCAAAATACAACTGTTTTTAATAATAATTTTTAACTTTTTTCTTATCGTGTAATAGGTAGTTGCTGGTATTGCATATAATTTTTTGCATCTTGACACGAGTCAAGTGAATGAGTGTATAAAATATCTAACCCAAGGCCATGGTGATTGTTAATCGGACGGTTTAAGCCAAATATTACTTTTGTTTGTCGTTATAATAAACAAAATTCCCAGTTTGTTCGAATTATTATTGTTATATTTATGACAAGTATGTCTAATGATTAATGAATCTTTACCGTCTATTGCAAAATATTAGTAAAAATCCTGCCAAGACAATCATGACACTGATCGATGGGAATTAAAATACTTATGAGATTACAAGGAAGATAACTATTGTCTGAATTCATAACGAAGAAATCATGTACAAAATAGTTTTTGAAAGATTAAATTGGATATATTTCTAATTTATCTATGTATAGGCTTAAGTCTAATAGTCTAAATTTAAAAAATTGGTCGAAAGTTATTTCGACAGGACTTCCCTCGCAGTGCCATAAATCCCGCTTCTTCGAAAAATTAAAA